CCGGCTCTCCTTGGTAGAAGCGTCCATGGTGCTCTCTCCCCGCTTCCGCTACGCTCTGTAGCACTGAACCACAACGGCTTGACACATAAGGGTTAGTGTAGGGTTATGTAAGGCGATTTGTTCAGGGTTCGACAAGGGTCCAATATAGGCTTAAGGACTTATGTTTGGGGTTTAAGCCGTGGACCGCTTCGCAAGCAAGAGCCAACCATCTTCAACGTGCTCTGAACTCTGAAACCTACATCCTAATCTGTCACTCAAGTTAGGATGGTGTACTCTCAGGAACTTTGGTTGATGTCCGTTCCCATCCCTCTCTGATCCTGCGCTTTAGGGTAAAGGGCTTAGGGTAGGTGACCTAACCACGACAAAATACATCAATCCGTGGTAACAAAACAACTCCCCCATCTTCTCGGAGTCCGGTGATGTCTGCCGTGTCTCATAAATACCACTACGCTGATGCTCGTGCTTCTGCCTTAGGCGCAATATGCACTAATGAGTTTGATTGCATCTTTGGATGTTTGCTCATCGTTGCCCCGATATACCACTGTGACTGCAGAGGTCGTTGTTCTTGGGAATCGTGCGCGGCGCAATCTTGCACTCACATGTTCCAACCTGGTCAAACCCCAAACTTCGTGTAGAAATCTGCCCAACACCTAAAATCCTAAATCCGACACCCTAACAAACCACCCTCAACCGCAAAACCCCTAAATCCAAATCAGTTCAAAGCCCTTAAACAAACATGACGTGAAATCCCCATGAACGCCCGTAACAAAAAAACTGAGAGTCACAAAAGAACCACAAAAGGGTTATGCACCCCGAAGGGTCTTGTAAAAGTCTTGATAAGGTTTGCGTTGTAAGTTGTTTTCGACCCTGAATCCTAAACCCTAAACTCTAAACGTTAAAACCTAAACCCTTCGCGAACACCAGGCCCGCCCGAGGTTTTCTTCGCCAACGCCGCTCAGCCAACATGCACAATGGTCCGGAGCGGTCTCGCGGCCTGGAAAGAATCTTGCTAAAGTCTGTCGGAATTCGCGTGAGGCTTATGTAGGGTGTTTAAGGGTTTTTCATAGGCTTGTTATGGTTTGCGAGGGGCTGTAGGGTTCTTTTACAATTTCATAGAAGATTGTTTAGTGTTTAGGAGGGGCTCTGGAAAGGTTCTATAAACATCTTTCTGTACGGGCCTTACTTAGGGCTTACATACGGGTATTCGCGGTTGATGCAGGGTTTATGTACTCGGAAACATAGGGGCTTTCATGATAGGAAATAAGGTTTTGGTGCATGCTATACTATACATCAGTACACTAAACCCTGAACCCTAAACCCCCCATAAGGGCCGGTCTACCCAGGTGCCTGGTCGAGCCTACCGGGTTAGGACTGAAGCCTGAAACTGCCACTTCAGAAATACCTTAGCCGTTTAGGGTTTAGGGTTTTTTAGCTGTTCGAAGGCATCCACAACCCTACAACCCTGCCAAAACCAGCTTCGTCCCAAACCCCAAGAACCCCAAGGCCCAAGAACCCAGACCTCAAAATCCCGCGCCCCTGTGAACCCTGAACCTAAACCTCCAAAGCGCGTCAGGTGGGGTCTCGGATGTCAGGTTTTGGAAGACGACCTAACGGTTTGCCGTGCGAAGTCCTGTAGGGCTGAGGAACCGGCGCTTAGATTCTGAGGGTTCGAGGTGGGCAAGCCCCAGAAGCAGCAGATCATTGTTCCAAGTGGCGTGTCCGTGCGAACTGCCAATCGAGGCCCCACAAAAAGTCTGAACCCTGAAAGCATTGCAAGCCCACAAAACCGCCCTAAGCTCACATCCTTTGATGAACTGCAAACATGTATGTATGTATGTGTATGTGTGTGTATATATATATATATACAGTTATCTCTCTCTATCTATATCCTGGCACCTAATTAGCCATAGAACCTGAAACCCTGAGATCCGTACATTCGCCCCAATTCCCAAATTCAATCGATCGCATCACCCAGTGCGTCGAATACTCATTGCGGCACTGAGGCGTACGCTGCATCCGTACTTCGCAGCTCCCGGGCAACAACAATAGAGTTAGTTGCGGGCTCAGGGCTCAGGGTTTATGGGCTCAGGGATTACGAACAACTGGAAATATAATGACACACAGTCGGTGTACAAAGAAGTGTGCATTCACAGTCTAAGGTTGCGGTCGAAGCTTGCAGGCAAGACACCTTCTGCTGATCACAAATAGTCGGATGTGATCTGCGGCTCCGGCATGAACACCTCCAAACAGTGCATCTTTGACGTTGATTCGGGTTCACGTCGTAGTATGTCGGAATTTCTGTCGCAGGTCTCCGATGTGTGCTTCAGATGCTCGGGTTGAAAATTCATGGGCCCAAGACTTCCTGGCAGGACTTGACATGGAACAGCTGGCACTACGTTGTTTCAATGATCCGGCGGGCAGCTACTGCGACGAGCCACACGAACCAACAAGCTTGCACGACAGTGGGAGCATACGAGGCAGCGAACACTGAAAGCCGTAGCTCGCCAGGTTTGCGGGGGTCAGGGTTCCTGGGCACCGTTGTTTTGGGAACGGTTCCCGCATTTTCCTGGGTCCTCTGGTCTCATGCTATTTCCTTCAGTGCCAACAAAACCCCACGGGCCCCAAGGCGCTACTGGCACCCTCGACCGACCCCCGCAAAGTCCGAAAGACTCGACGCTAGATCGCAAACCTTCCCTCAAACCGAAAACCGCCTAAAACCTAAACATACCTAAACCCTCAAGACTAAAATCACTTGAATGCCAAATGTACCTAAACCCTATCTACACCCAAACCCGCAACCCTTAACCTTCAAACTGAAACGCAAACATACCTAAGCACGGATCTGCAAAATTCTTGAAGCACAGCCTGTAGGGCGCTGGAGAAAATCCTCGCGGGTCCTCAGGAAAATCTTGGAACCATGGCCACGAATCAGGGCTTCGAGGGCTTAGGGTTTAGGCTGCCTTGCATAGCCCTGAACCCTGCAGAAACTGTGTGTTCCGAGAGCACCTCTCCAATTCACTTGACTTTGCAGCTCTGTCTGGCGAGCAGGACGATTTGTTACGGCTCACACCAAAACTGACAGTCAAAACAAGGCATGTATCCCTCACAAACGCATGCCAACAAGAAATCGTGCCGCCTGGCTGTTTGCCATTTTCAAAGTTACAACCCGTGCAATGAACCCACAACAAGCAAAAGCCCATGCCCGTCACAAATCGTACTCCCCCGCTCTCTGGTACGTCCCTTCAACTTCACAACAGAGACGGCCCATGCCTTGCCGAATCGCACCTATTACGATCACTATCACAACAAAGGTAGGCCCCCACTCATGGCAAATCATGCCCCCGGCAAGTATGGCATCTTCGAGCTCAAGACACACAAGCCCACGCCGTAACAAATCCTATCCTGCGCCTGTCTACAACAGACCCGCAAAAAGAACAAGCCCATGCCCTTAACGTCTCTGGTACGTCCCTGCAACTTCACAACGAAGACAAGCTGATGCCCGGAGCAAGTCGGACCCCCCTTGTCGCTTCGCTTCTTGATCGTTTTGGGACGTGATCGTTTGAAAGCTGCTGGGGTGGGGAACTAGCTGTGGAACCGAAACTTCTATGTCTTTGTACCGTGACTCACAAAGCTCGAAAAGCTGAAGGGATTCTGAGGAAGGTTTCACTGGCATGGCGTGTCAGATAAGAAAACAAACGAGTTTCAAGTTTGCTTACATTTGGCTTACATGTTGCTTTAAACGGCGATGAATTGGAGCTTAAGACCTGGATCAGAAAGTTCAAGTTAAAGGAAGTGTCGTCTCAAAGGGGTCTTAAAGCGGACTCAGTAGCGGACGGGGCTAAAGAAGGTTTAAGGGAGGTTCCCAGAGAGCCCAACACCCCTTAATTGAGGAATATGGCTTAAATCATATAGGGCTTCATATTATGATTTAAGCTATATTCCTTAATTAAGGGGTATTGGGCTCTCTGGGTTTGATTGGTTAAGACGTGATTAATGGCTCAGGAGCCCGCAAATCCAAGCAATGGTGTTGAAAGCGCTTAGACGCGCTGAAGAATCGCAAATCCAGGATGCGACCATGTTTCGCGCAGTCTTTGGAGGAGTTATATAGAATCATTTAGGAAAGCACCTTGAAAAAAGGTTCGAAAGCGTTGAAAAAGCTCCACATCAAACATGCAATACTCGGTCAAGGCCTCTCAACACTCCGCTTAGCACCCACTCGAAACCCGATGAAAGCCCTCTGAGCACTTCGAACCTGAACCTTTGCAAATTCAACACAGACTAAATCCGTAACCCTGAGAGGGAGCTTGCTGCCGAGGGGCGGTTAACCCATGCTGGAACGTCTGCAACTTTCAAAAGTCTGCAGACCTACCAGCGTCTGTGATTGTGGGTGCCGACGCTTCGGTGAGGCTGGATGCGACATGTATTGTGACTTGTGATACAGCAAGACGTCAGGCGCAGAATCTCGATCAGCAAATCTACGCATCAGGACTATTGACTATTGACTAGATTGTCGATGGCACGACCCGGACAACAGCACGAAAGGGGAAACAGTCGGAATGCCAGCCTTGGTTGCAAAGTCTATGCAGTTGTTCTGCAGCAGACTGTAATCGCGGCCGGAGCAGGTGGCCTCCTGTGGCTTTCACACGTCGTTTCAGCCGTGCTTTTCCAGCCCCTACAGCACATCATGAAGCTCCTCCCTCATGCATATCCGTGCGGAATTAGGAACGGTCGGACACCGAAGGACAAAAGGCTGTCCTAAGCATCGAAACTTTCTTGTTGCAGCAGAGCGTCGAGGGTACTGTACAGGACATCCAAATCTCGCTCGGCAAGCGTCGTTGAGCCCCTCCAGTAGGATCAGGGAATTACTGCATGAGCGAGCTTCAGTAGCCCTTATGCGCTTGTCCCAACCCACGCTGGCATCTTCCTCACTTCAATAGAGCAGTAAGTGCTTGAAAAAACCTGCAAGCTGGAAAGGTGTGAGCTGCTCTTGGCAGCAAACCACAGCCGTACGTCCACCCTTCAGCCACAACGAGATCCCGACCCCCGAACACGCCCCAACCCCGGCGATCCAGGCTGCAGTTTCAGAATTTCGCATGTCTGGGTTGGTGTGCAAGAACATAAAAATTCGGATGGTCCGGCACGACATTAGAATATGAATGCTGGTTCGATCGGGCATCCTCTGTTGCGACAAGCGGGCTTCTTTGTTCTGTTTCCTGCAGGAACCAGATAGACGGTTGAGGTAGATGCAATAGACTGCACTGCAAAAGTTCGTGTGCTTAGTCCTCGCCTCAGGGCTGTGACTCCACGTCTGCTTACTATTACTCACTGCCGAGGCACATAAGCAGGCTCTCACGAAAGTGGTGCTGCTCCGAAGCACGCGGCTTGTGGCGGCAAACGCCGCTTCCAGCCAGAGTGGCTCCGAAAGCCCACCTTTCCAGACTCATGACACTGGCTAAGCAACAAACCCCTGACTAGCCGACAGTCCGAAGATGTGAAACTTCTTCAATTCTCGGCGTATGCTTGCAAATGCTGCTCGTAATTATGGATGCCGGAGGCCCTGAAAGCTGTTTGGTCGGCACTGAAACCCAATGCTATGACCGTTGCGGTGACCGGTCATACCGTCGGCGCAAGTCTTCGTGATGCCTCCGCATTCGGGGTCTCTACTCTTTACACTTCCTCCATCATCCGCCTAGAACCTCGACTCGATATACTTCAGCAGCTCAGGCACTCTTCGTCCCCTACTTGCACGCCGACGTGAAAGAGCCCCCCAAGCTTCACCTTGGATTCAAGCAAGGACTGCTGGCTCGGAACCTATTCGGTGCACGCTACGTGAGCTACATAGTAGCTTTGACAATATGATCATATGACAATATGTTAATATATTATTGTGTGCCGGCTCTCACGCCCAGCTGGCTTCCAGAAAAGTTGGACTCGTGCCTGCGGTCTAAATTCGGCCCCGTCACGGGGGCATGCTCGTACGCGAACAGGGTGTTGATCCATTGCACCTGAGAGAATTCAGTGCTCTGCAAGTCCGTGACCGGCTGCACAACTCCCTCACAACCGGGCATTAAGGTCTGCTGATATCTCGAAAACTCTTCTCCATGCATTCTACCACGCACTCTTCAATCAGAAGCACCATAGACCAGAGCGATGTCTGAAACGGACTCCAAGGAACACCCGTTGACTGCGTCACGTCGTAGATGTTCAAGATAACCCTCGTTCCACAGACCTGGAGAGGACATCACCACTTGGTAGGGTCAGTTCGGATCTAGGGCTCAGCGAGATATTGGGAACTTGATATTAGGGTTTAGGGTTTAGGGTTTAGGGTATAGGGTTCAGGGTTTAGGGGCTCAGGGGCTCTCTGTAGTCGACGTTGGGAACCCTTTCAAAAGGGGTTCCGTGTTTCGGGTGAGCGCGTGTTTCGCGGTATGTGTCTGGCTAGCTGCCGCAGCGTTTCACTAAGCCAGCTACCCGGGCCTGATGGTCCATCTCCGCTTCCCGAGCAGACCTCGAAGGGAGACGCGCGGCTGTAAAGATGTCTTCTGTAGGGTCTTACAGGGTTGTATAAGGTGGCTAAAAGGCTTAGGATTGAACTTGGGGGTTTAGGTGTGGGGATATTTGGAGGCTCAGTGGTTATAAGTAGGGCGATCCCCCCTTTTTTTCACCGACATACCACATTACCAGGAAGGGGATAAGAGTTGGACGTGTCTTACAAATGCAATTAGGTTTAAGGATCTAAAAGTTTGGGGTTCGGGCTTCAAGACTGAGGGCGTAGGATTTGGACTTGCGTGCAGGGTTGAGGGAATAGTTGGCGTCACGGTTCAAAGAAGGCTTCACGTCGCAGTTTCTCGGGAACGATCGACATAGGTGAACAAATCTGGCTTCATGTTAGCGTTGTTAAGAATTCTTGAGGATCCGGCTTACAGGGCTTGCGAAACTGTGCCTGGGTTGTAGGATGTTGAAAACATGTTTGAGTGTGGGGCGTTTGGCGCTTTGTGCATGGGTCACAGCGCGAAGGACCAAGCTAACCCTTCAGAGAAAAGCTAAGTTTGTAGAGTTTGTACGTGCGCAATCAGCATTGAAGATTAGCTTATTTAGCACAAGAACACTTTTCGAGGGCAAGGATTTACATTCTAGCACTCATGGGGCTTAGGACTGAAGGGAGTAACAGTCTAAGACGTAGAGTTTCGGGTTCAGGCTTGCTGGGAGACGTGCGATTCCAGAATCGAAGGATGGTGCCAAACGGTCAGGAGCTTGGCAATTGCTGTTGAACGGCGTTAGATTTTAGGTTTGCGATTCAGACTGGAAGGTTCCATCCAAGAACCCTGGCCCCGCAGCGTCGGCAGGCGAAAGGAAACACACCGACAACAGGAATAACTCAAATTTGGCGTAAAAACCAGAATGTCAACAGCAATCATCACCATCTTCTGCGACAGGCTGACCAACTCCGAAAAAGCAAGAAGGACTATCTGCAGCCCAGTTGCTTCTGAGAATCGTGAGAACCATGTGGTAGCAACGATCTCTCTTCTTCCGGCACCTTCACAGAAGCGGAACCCTGCTTTAGACCCTTCGACCAGGCTCCAATAAAAGACTACGACTTGTCCAGGACCCTACTTGAAGGATCATGGGACTTAGTAACTAGGGTTCTAATTAAGGTAACTATACTTATAATTACTTATAACCCCAATTAAGGTACTTATAACCTAACTTACTAAGTCCCCTGATCCTCCAAGTAATTATACTGGGAGGACTCTGGGGCTTTTGGGGTTTAGGGGACGGCTTGGGTTTTTTTTGTGTAAAGTGCAATGGCTTCTGACGGCTTAGAGTTTAGGGCTTAGGGCAAGCATTTGGGGGTTTCGGGGCTTGGCGTTGAAGACCGAAACTTCATCCGTAGAGACCACTCCCGCAAAAACTGTGATTCGGGCACCGACCTTTATGATCAACCAGTGCTTGTTGGGTACGGCCCACTCAGTAGTAGTTGAGTAATATTCATAATATAGATGTATTAGGACCTTAATAAAAGCCCTAGTACAGTATAGACTCTTACTGTATGGGGGCAGTACCTGAAGTGCTTGTCTCAACACCTTGAACACCAACACACAAACACACACACACACACACACACAACCAGAGTGTTTCAGAGTTACGGCTCGGGCTTAGGCCTGGATGGTGTAGGCCAGTGTAGGCTCAGGTGTCCAGTTTGTAGGTCTCGGAAGTGTTTATTGCGAAGCCTGGAAAGCACACTAAACCTTAGATCCCGTGCCTGAAAAATAACCCGAGGCGGCCATGACTCCGTTGCCCAGAAACCCCTTCTATCCTTATACTTATGAGAGCTTTCATAAATGGGAAGAGGGCTCAAGCTAGCAAAGCTGGTAGCACTCGAGCCTCGGCAACCAGGCCCTTGAAAAATCCCAAGACGGGAACCTTTCAAAAAGGCAACCTATCCCAACCCCCTGTAGTGGTGGTGCAGCGGCTGTTCTGTTTGGATCCTTTTGAGAGATCTGGGTCTACATCATTGCGCACCCAAGATAGTGTCCGGGTCTTAGGGCACAGGGTTTGGGTTTAGGGTTTGGTACTTGGCCTGGGGTCACTCAAGATTTAAGGTGTAGGGTTTTGCGGAATGTGGTCTTAGGAATCATTGTTTACGTGCTACATAATCCACAACTGTGTGTCACACCACTGCCCACGAAGTCTCACAAACCCTGATCCCGCTGATAACCCTCAATCCCGAAAGGGGGCGCGGCAATAAACCCTATAAACCCTAAACGACAATGCTAAACACTAGACCCTGAACCTGAAAAACCTAATATCATCTACCCGAGGCCTTCACCCATAAAGTGCCCGAAACCCTGGCCTCAAGACCCTGAGTTTAGGGCTTCGCGAAACGCTAGCCTGCAAAACTAGACAATCCAGCCTCATTGCCCATATCAGACGTGGGGCTCATTGGCTCTTCCACAAACCTCCAGAAAGACTGATGGCTTTCATAAGATTTCTGTAGGGTTTGAGAGGGTTTTACACGGTGTTTCTGAGGCGTAGGGTCAATCGAGTTTGGTTGAGGGTTTGGGGATGACGTCGGAACTAGGTCATTCATAAGTGAATAAAGTCGTGCAAAAGACGGTATAAGACAAGAACAAAGAATAGGGTATTGATAACCCCAACTTACAACCCACAAACTACGTACATCGGAAGCTGGAGCATGGGTTAAGGATGATTAGTAATGCGGCTCCCTGCACGTTCCAATTATACCCTAAACCCTACAACCTAAGCCCCAAACTCTGTTGCAGCAAGGGCGGCAGGGTGGCTGGACTGTCTGGCTCCAACTGTATGGGGATGTCGGGTTAAGGAGCCAGGCTCCGCAACGCCGCGTCTTGCGAATCAAGTTTGGTTGAAAGATCCAAGGGTTTGGGCTTCAAGAGTTACGGTGTCGGATTTACTTGTTACTCTGGTTCAAGGCTTCCGGTTTAATACTGGGACAACTTGTCAGGAATGTTCGATGGAGCTGTCTTATCTCGCTGCACATTCATGTTCGGAGCGTTCTTGAGGCTTCAGCATGTTTAGGGCTTGAGTTTCTATGCCCGGGCTTTGGGGATGTTGAAGACTATGCTTGAGCGCCCATAGCGTCGGTCGTTTTGGGCTACCTTAAAATCTGAACCCTGCAACCAAACATAGATAATAGTAGACATTGTTAAGAGCCACATCATAATCTATTTCTGGCTTAGGCCAGATGCCAGCCAAAAAGCTTACCTGCTGCAGCTCAGTTGCTTCTGAAGGGCGTTCACCGTGTCGGATCCGTGTGACGGGGAGAAATCATCGTCACTCGACGTGCTGCGGGCCTGTTCCATGGTTTATGGCGGGCCAAGCGTTTCCGATGAATTATGTACAGGTTTAGGGCTAAGGGGTCATGCGTTAGGGCCACAGCCCTGTACTCTACAGGGAATTCTAGGCAGCTTTCCTCGGAGTGTGGTCTCAGGACTTATTGCTTACGTGCGAAATAATCCACAAGTGTGTCCTCGAAACTTACACTGTCACATCACTGCCGGCGGCGTCTCATAAACCTTTAACCCGTTGTTAAGCATGTGCCCTCAATCCCGGAAGGAGACACGGCAATTAACCCTAAACCCTAAACGACAAAGCCTAAACACCACACCCTGAACCTGAAAAAACCTAATATCATCTACCCGAGGCCTTCACCCATAAAGTGCCCGAAATCCCGGCCGCAAGACCCTGAGTCTAGGGCTTCGCGAAACGCTAGCCTGCAAAACGAGACAATCCAGCCTCATTGCCCATATCTGACGTGGGGCTCATTGGCTCTTCCACAAACCTCCAGAAAGACTGATGGCTTTCATGGGGATTTCTGTAGGGTTTGGGAGGGTTTTACAAAGTGTTTCTCAGACGCAGGCTCAACCGAATTTGGTTGAGGGTTTGGGGTTGGCGTAGAAAGTAGGTCATCTTTCAATAAAAAGTCGTGCTACAGGCGGTAAGACAAGCACAAAGTATAGGGTACTGATAACCCCAACTTACAACCCACAAACTACGTACATCGAAAGCGGGAGCATGGGTTATGGATGATTAGTGCTGCGGCTCCCTGCACGTTCTAATTATACCCTAAACCCTACAACCTAAGCCCCAAACTCTGTTGCAGCAAGGGCGGCAGGGCGGCTGGACTGTCTGGCTCCAACTGTATGGGGATGTCGGGTTAAGGAGCCAGGCTCCGCAACGCCGCGTCTTGCGAATCAAGTTTGGTTGAAAGATCCAAGGGTTTGGGCTTCAAGAGTTACGGTGTCGGATTTACTTGTTGCTCTGGTTCAGGGCTTCCGGTTTGATACTGGGACAACGTTTCAGGAATGATCGATGGAGCTGATCTTATCTCGCTGCATATTCGTGTTCGGAGCATTCTTGAGGCTCCGGCATGTTTAGGGCTTGCGCTTCTATGCCCGGGCTTTAGGATGTTGAAGACTATGCTTGAGCGCCCATGGTGTCGGCCGTTTTGGGTTATTTTAGAATCTGAAACCTGCAACCAAACGTGGATGGCAGTAGACATGGCAGTTAAGAGTCATCATAACAGTCATCAAAATCTTGTTCTGGCTTAGGCAAGCCAACCAAGGGCCAAAAAGCTCATCTGCTGCAGCCCAGTTGCTTCTGAAGGGCGTTCACCGTGTCGGATCCATGTGGTGGGGAGAAGTCGTCACGCGACGTGCTGTGGGCCTCTTCCATGGTTTATGGCGGGCCAAGCATGTCAGATGAATTATGTAAAGGTTTAGGGCTAAGGAGTGATGCGTTAGGGTCACAGCCCTGTACTCTACAGGGAATTCTGGGCAGCTTTCCTCTGATAAGGATTTAGGGTTTAAGGTTCAGGGCTTGGTACAGGGTTTAGGAGTTCGTGGTCTGGGTTATGGGGCCTCGCGTCTTGCAAGGTCTCAAGATTTAAGGTGTAGGGTTTGCGGAGTGTGGTCTTAGGAACTATTGTTTAAGTGCTACAAATGGCCCCGGAACTTACACTGTCACACCACTGCCGGCGGCGTCTCACAAACCCTTAACCCGTTGTTAAACATGTGCCCTCAATCCCCGAACGGAGACACGGCAATTAACCCTGCGCCCTAAACGACAAAGCCTAAACACTAGACCTTGGACCTGAAAAGCCTTACATCATCCACATAAAGTGCCTGAAATCCCGGCCGCAAGACCCTGAGTTTAGGGCTTCGCGAACCGCTAGCCAGCGAAACGAGACAATCCAGCCTCATTGCCCATATCTGAGGTGGCGCTCGTTGGCTCTTCCACAAACCTCCAGAAAGACTGATGGCTTTCATGGGGATTTCTGTAGGGTTTGAGAGGGTTTTGCAACGTGTTTCTGAAATGCAGACTCGAATTTAGTTGAGTGTTTGGGGATGGCGCAGGAACTATAGGTCATAAGCTAATAAAGTCGTGCAAAAGACGGTAAGACATCAACAAAGTATAGGGTACTGATAACCCCAACTTACAACCCACAAACTACGTACATCGAAAGCTGGAGCATGGGTTAAGGATGATTAGCCCAGCACATTCCAATTATACCTTAAACTCTGCAACCTAAGCCCCAAACCCTGTTGCAGCAAGGGCGGCAGGGTGGCTGGACTGTCTGGCTCCAACGGTACGGGGATGTCGGGGAAAGGAGCCAGGCTCCGCAACGCCGCGTCTTGCGAATCCAGTTTGGTTGAAAGATCGAAGGGTTTGGGCTTCAAGGGTTAGGGTGTCGGATTTACCTTTTTGCTCTGGTTCAAGGCTTCCGGTTCAATACTGGGACAACGTTTCAGGAATGATCGATGGAGCTGATCTTATCTCGCTGCACATTCGTGTTCGGAGCATACTTGAGGCTCCGGCATGTTTAGGGCTTGCGTTTCTATGCCCGGGCTTAGGGATGTTGAAGACTATGCTTGAGTGCCCACAGTGTCGGCCGTTTTGGGTTACCTTAAAGTCTGAACCCTGCAACCAAACATGGATAGCAGTAGACATGGCAATTAAGAGTCACCATAACAGTCATCATAATCTTTTTCTGGCATAGGCAAGCCAACCAACAGCCAAAAAGCTCATCTGCTGCAGCCCAGTTGCTTCTGAAGGGCGTTCACCGTGTCGGATCCATGTGACGGGGAGAAGTCATCGTCACGCGACGTGATGAGGGCCTCTTTCATGGTTTATGGCGGGCCAAGCATGTCGGATGAATTATGTAAAGGTTTAGGGCGAAGGGGTGATGGTTAGGGTCACACCCCTGTTCTCTCGTCCCGTCAGCTCTAGATGCACTCGCAACAAGTGGCCATGCCACCTACGTACAATGAAAGTGCCAGCAACAGCATACGATGCATGCTCATCAGGATCAAAAAGAAAGGTGGTGCGGTTGTCGGGAGCAACACGCATCTATATAACCCGAGACCCTCAGCCGAGACTCTACAAGGAATTCTGGGCAGCTTTCCTCTGATAGCCTGTTCTATGAGATTCCATGGTCAGGATCCTGCTGATGAAACAACAGGGCTTTCGACGAAACAAGTACCTTATACGGGTCGAATAAACTTAGGAGCAGGAGGCATTTTCTTGCGAGCCATCTTTGGGTGCCGTGTTCATGTATGTCTAAAGCCACCTTCAACCATTTCGTCGGAATGAAGGTTTCGTGCTCCGAGTTGGGGCTGCAAGCGGCAGCTTCTGCGCCCACTTGTCCGGGCACAGGGTAGTCTCATGAACCTTGAATCACCAGATACGCGAGAACCCCAGAACCTTGAAGCCTAAAACTCCGGCCTCCTGGCACATAAAAGTCTCTTCCGAGGCCGCGCTCTTTGGCTCAGACCTCCAGAAAGAGGCTTTTTGTCAAGTGGCTGATGGATTCAAGGCTTGATTGAGGATTTCTTTAGGGTCTTAAAAGGGGCTGAGCAAGTAGGTCATAAGCAGCCCTGGTTAGGGCACATACCTACAACCCCAAATTACCACCCATAGATCGACAGTTGAAGCGTGGATCAACGATGATTAAATGCGGGATCCCATACACCTTTAAACCCTAAACCCTAAACCCCAAAAAACCATTGACCTAAAGGGCATGGAGGCTTAGCGGCCAGGCTCCGCAACGCCGTGTCCTGCGAATTTCACTTAGGATTCAGGGATTTATGGTTTAGGGTTTATGGTTTAGGGATTGGGGTTTACGGATTTTTGTAAGTGCAATGGCTCTTTCTCCACGAAGCAAGCTTTGCAGGTCCTGAGCCTGCCTCCGAAAAGAGGCCTACACTAAAAGTGGGCATGAAATGCTCTCAGCTGGTTTACGGATTTAGGTTGTGGGATTTTGACTTTAATTCAAGGTTTCCGGTGTTGCAGGAGCAGTTGGAATAAGGCTTCGGGACGCAACCTCTCGAGAGTGATCGACTGAGCTGAGCACATCACACAGTACATTCGTGTTCGAAGCATTATTGTGGCTCCAGCCTGTATCGCATCCTCCCGAATTACCACGAGTACACATTTAGGTTTAGAGTTAAGGTTTCAGAGTTTAGGGCTTAATCGCTCAAGCATTTAAGAGCACAAGGGCTTAAGGGTCTCAGGCTTCGGGTTTCGAGTTTGGGGTTTCTGGGCGACTGATGACGCAGAGAACGAACGATGAAAGCTTTGAGTGGTGCAGAGCCCTGCGAGCCGCTATGAGCCCCGCATGTGAGCCCTGCGCTTGGCTCGGCCTCGCTGGCGGGCAGCACGGTGAGCAAGACTGGCACAGCCCTCGGAGCCAAGGATTTAGGGGTTTCGGGCTTCGGGTTTAGAGGGAAAAACCCTAAAGCCTAAACCACTTCAAAGAAGATCCTGGCCGCCTCTCCCTGAAGACCGGAAGCTAAGCGGGCCGCATTTTGAAGCCGCGGCCAGGCAGTCCATGGCGCACGCCAGTTTCGACACGCGCACTTAGAGAATTGTCCTTATCGGCATGGTGAGGCATCTAGAATCCTAGAACCTGCTACAGGAGGTTAGGATTTGAAAGACGGGTAATCGGTAATCACATCGATCGAACAGCTCCATACAGTCCCACAGTATCAAAAATCGGCTTCAAATCTAGAGAGATCATCAAGCAAGATCCAAAAGCTGCACAACCCAAACCCTATAACATTCATCTCTGACAACCCCTAAGCTTCTACCCGAAGCCGTACGCCCTTCGAGACGGGGAATCTTGAGCGCTCAGCACTTTCATGGTATGCTGTGCTCCAGGAAGGCGAGTATCAGTATGACCGGTACGGTGAGCTTTGATGTTGGTTCTATAGGTCAGTGCGATCTTCGGAACTTGGTTGCCAAAGCATGGCGTGACAACATGTCCAATGACTTGAGAAAACGAGGCTCCCGGACGACTGGGGCTTGGGTCTTGGAGCGCGTATCATGGTTGGGGTCGTAGATTTCGGGTCTGGCAATCCCTAAGCCCGTAACCTTAAACCCCAAACCCTTGCAAAGCGTAGGGTCTGGAATAGTGATCCGGGCTGGGGCTTGGGCGTTCAGTGGGGGGCCCTGAAACAATTGGCTTAAAGCTTCTACACGGGGCCATACTCCCTGAAAGCAGGGCTATCTTGAGCGCTCATTACTTGCAATACTTGTTGCATTGCAGTGCTAGGAGTATTGCAAGGACCGATATGGTCAGCCATGATGTTGTCTCTGAATGCCTACACTGAACTTAGAGCCCTAGCAAAAATTATAACTTTAGCTGTTTCTCTCAGGGATTATAACAACCAAAAATTAAGAACTATTTCTAAGTAGAAGCCAGTGGCGCTCTTCGGAAACTTGGTTGATGCCCGTTCCCATGCAGCTCCATTTGGGGGTTTCCGAAAATAGGGGACCCGAATATAATTCCCTAACTAGTAGGATCCTTATTATAATGATCCCAAAATAAGGTACTCCTAATTTTCGGAAACTCCCATTCGTCTGGCACCTCAAGTTCTCAACCCCTGCGTCCGAGACCACCATCGAGGGCGCTTTGTAACCACAACAAGAGCAAAAGACCTGACCTGACCTGACCACGACAAGAACCCGTTCATTCCCTGAAAAATAGTAGCTTCCGCAGCTTCTCGAAAATTTGTTGGTGTCTGCTGATGTCTGCCGTGTTTCATGCAGCTTCTGCCAGACGTCGTAATTGCAGCAGTGAGTTTAATTGCATACTTGGGTGTTTTCCATGATTGCTACGACCTACCACTGTGACTTCAAAATCCGAACCAGGCTACACCCCAAACTTGTTGAAATGAGAGCCTAAATCCTTCACCCCAATCAACCCAAAAGCTCTAAACCCTTGCCTTGAAACCCCCCCAAAGTCGTGCAATCCCCGTAAACCCCCTTGACAAGGAATCTTAAATTGGCAAAGGAACCATGTATATAGGGCTTTTCAGGTTTAGGCACCCGGAAGGTTCCAAAAAAAACATTTGTCGGGTCTCCCCAGTAGCTTCCCGAGCCACAACGCCGAATTTTCTTCGCCGACGCCGGTCAGCTAACATTCGGGGCGCGGCTCGGAGGAGTCTGGAGGCCTGGGTAGTTGAAGGTCTACATGGGTAGTTGTCAAAATTAGGGTCCCTTTTTGGGTGCCCTAAATAATAGGTGCCGTATTATAGTGGGTACCCAAAAAGGGACCCTAATTTTGACAACCACCCAGATGTATGCGCCCTTTTCAAGCTTGAAGGCTTTTAGTCTTTGTATAGGCTAAAGGGTTTATGCTTTTGCGGCTGATTTAAGGCTTGTATGCGGATATTTAAGGCTTATACGGCTTATGTTTGGAAACGTGGTGGTGGTCTGGAGGATTAGAAATAGGACTTTGGTGTTCTTTAAACAAGAATGTGCGGGGCTTTCAGGGGACATCATGTTTGCAGCTGCGTAGGGTTTGCCGGTTTATGTGTGTAAGGTTTAGGGGCGAAGGCTTTGGGAATATGCAAGGTTTGATCCTTAGGTGATTAAGGTTTAGGGTCTTAGGTTGCGGGCTCCGCGTTCAAAGTTTAGGGTTGAAGCTTAGGGTTTATGACTTAAGGCTTCTCGGTTTTGGGAATAGGGGATAAGGTTGGGTTTAGGGTCCAAGAACCGGGCTTAGGGCTTGACATCTGAGGCTATGAAAGCTCTTGATCTTTCGGCAGCGATTCTGTCGAAACGATAACATGCAGCAATCAATAGAAACCCGTAGCATTGAGGTTTGCATCGGGCGTCGTGAAGAAAGCTTGCGAGTCACATGCACTCTTCGTGTCCCCAAAGCTTGAGAACCATCTTCCACTAAGGCAGGTGCTCTTCGCACACCGCATGCCCCCAGCCTCAGCGTGCAGTCATGCTTGGAGGGGCAGGGGACTTAGCAAGTAGGTCATAAGTAGAGTTGTAAGTACCCTACATGGAGTTACCGGTTCGGGAGGGGCCTGAGGCTGGGGGGACTTGGGGTTGCGGGGTCAGGGGCCAACACCCCAAACGCCTAAGCCCTGAACCCTACACCCCGAACCCCCGAGACCTGGAAACGCTAGACTACACACTTTCCTGCGAAGAAACTCCCTTTTTTGAGCATGGAGGCTTGGATGTGGGGCCTGTGAGTTGAGCTTGCTGATATTCGAGCTTCCCACTCAACCCTTACCCATCGCCCTGGCTAGAGGATTTGGGCTTCGGGATTCTCACAAAGGCCCAGGGCATGTTGAGCACCCTATTGCCCCGGAATATGTGTGTGTGTGTATATATATATATATATATATTTATATGTATATATGATCCCGGTTCGGCCGCCCCCCCCCTGCCGCCCAGCAATGGTTCCCGCCTCCCTGTGGTGCAGTGTGGTCCGGAGGTGGGTCTGTTTGGGGTGGTTTCCGAGCCGAAGAAGATCCGTAGCTTGCAGCTAGCTAACAACAAGTTTTCCTGCTCAGTTCGAGAAAGCAGGAGCGTGAGCATCGTCAAAAAACTTCGAAGTTTCAATCCCACAGGTCACCACAATTTGGGGCGCTTGCAGGATCCGTCGGGAGCAAGTTCCAACCACATGGATTGGACTCTCACTGCCCCGAGCTGTGCATGTAGTAGCTGTGCACTCATCATTCCAGGCGACGTCTACTCTGCTCCAGCTTCATGTTGCACGGCTCGGGTGAAACGGCAGACGATGCTTGCGAAGCCCGAGGAATTCGAGAGCATGAATAGCAACAGGATTCCGAGCTTAGTTCGAGAAGCACCTCATCGCAACACATCTTCGCAATGTCGATGCACAACAAGTTGGTGCGGAGCAAGTTCCAACCACATGGATTGGACTCGTACTACTCCACACTTGAACTCTCGAGTCCTTTCGTCAGGTAGACGCCGTTGCAGCTGAAGCTGTTTGAGCTGTTTAGGGCTTAGGGCTCAGGCTCAGTGTGCATGTAGTGGCTGCACACTCATTATTCCAGGCGACGTCTACTCTGCTCCAGCTTCATGTTGCACGGCTCGGGTGAAACGGCAGACGATGCTTGCGAAGCCCGAGGAATTCGAGAACATGAATAGCAACAGGATTCCGAGCTTAGTTCGAGAAGCACCTCATCGCAACACGTCTTCGCAATGTCGATGCACAACAAGCTGGTGCGGAGCAAGTTCCAACCACATGGATTGGACTCGTACTACTCCACACTTGAACTCTCGAGTCCTTTTGCCAGGTAGAAGCTGTTGCAGCTGAAGCTGCTTGAGCTGTTTAGGGCTTAGGCGACGTCTACTCTGCTCCAGCTTCATGTTGCACGGCTCGGGTGAAACGGCAGACGATGCTTGCGAAGCCCGAGGAATTCGAGAGCATGAATAGCAACAGGATTCCGAGCTTAGTTCGAGAAGCACCTCATCGCAACACATCTTCGCAGTGTCGATTCACAACAAGTTGGTGCGGAGCAAGTTCCAACCACATGGATTGGACTCGTACTACTCCACACTTGAACTCTCGAGTCCTTTCGTCAGGTAGACGCCGTTGCAGCTGAAGCTGTTTGAGCTGTTTAGGGCTTAGGGCTCAGGCTCAGTGTGCATGTAGTGGCTGCACACTCATTATTCCAGGCGACGTCTACTCTGCTCCAGCTTCATGTTGCACGGCTCGGGTGAAACGGCAGACGATGCTTGCGAAGCCCGAGGAATTCGAGAGCATGAATAGCAACAGGATTCCGAGCTTAGTTCGAGAAGCACCTCATCGCAACACATCTTCGCAATGTCGATGCACAACAAGCTGGTGCGGAGCAAGTTCCAACCACATGGATTGGACTCGTACTACTCCACACTTGAACTCTCGAGTCCTTTCGTCAGGTAGAACCTGTTGCAGCTGAAGCTGTTTGAGCTGTTTAAGGCTTAGGGCTCAGGCTCAGTGTGCAAGTAGTGGCTTCGCACTCATTATTCCAGCTGACGTCTACTCTGCTCCAGCTTCATGTTGCACGGCTCGGGTGAAACGGCAGACGATGCTTGCGAAGCCCGAGGAATTCGAGAGCATGAATAGCAACAGGATTCCGAGCTTAGTTCGAGAAGCACCTCATCGCAACAAATCTTCGCAATGTCGATGCACAACAAGTTGGTGCGGAGCAAGTTCCAACCACATGGATTGGACTCGTACTACTCCACACTTGAACTCTCGAGTCCTTTCGTCAGGTAGAACCTGTTGCAGCTGAAGCTGTTTGAGCTGTTTAAGGCTTAGGGCTCAGGCTCAGTGTGCAAGTAGTGGCTTCGCACTCATTATTCCAGCTGACGTCTACTCTGCTCCAGCTTCATGTTGCACGGCTCGGGTGAAACGGCAGACGATGCTTGCGAAGCCCGAGGAATTCGAGAGCATGAATAGCAACAGGATTCCGAGCTTAGTTCGAGAAGCACCTCATCGCAACACATCTTTGCAATGCTTGGGGCGCGTGCAGGATCCCTTTGCGGCAACCGTCTATGACGGCACGTGAACTGTAAAGGCGCTACCGTGATTGGACATCGAGGTCAATTAATCTTCACAGGGTTTAGGGTTTAGGGTTTAGGGTTTAGGGTTTAGGGTTTAGGGTTTAGGGCACAGACCCTGTATTATGCAATACGTCTGTTGAAATGATATAACACCAAGACGCCATACTAATAGGAAGGCCCCTACATTGCTCATTCAACATTTGCGCTAGACCTGAGTCGGTGAGTAAGTATGACGATGTGATGCCCAATCATCCGAATACACTTCCGCGCCGTCCTCCAGGATTGCAACGAAGCCGTGACCGCACGCAGCTATCTCCCTCACCCCGGTGTACCTCGACACGAATGACGGGGAGAGGATGGGAGAGCGGCAGGGTGGAGGAGAGGCTTAGGGTTCAAAGGAGACTGTGACATCCGAGAGTCAGCCATCGGTTGCCTCCCTTTGCGGTATCTCCCCAGGATACCACGGAACCATCCTGGCAGAGGGCGACAAAGGCAGCAACGCCGGCGACGATCTGAACAATGCCTGTCAGCCAGTCTGGACCAAAGCCGCTGCAGTCGCCGCCGAACTCCCGAACGCCCCAAGCCACCACAGAACCATCTCCGAGTCGGACAGCAAAGGCTTCTTCTGTCGCTTCCAGCTGAACAACATTCCGGACATGCCATAGTCGCCTCGGCAGTGCGTGGCCCTCCACGCCAATATCAACGACCCTGCCGTCAGCTGTCAGCGCCACGAAGCCACAGCCAGCTCCTTTGACTTCAACCACGTTGGTTGCACGGCCAGCGATGTCTCCCCATGTCACGACAGAGCCGTCGCTTAAGACAGCGCAGAAGCCCCGTGAGCAGCCTGCGATCTGCGTCACGCTGCGACCGGGTCGTGTCAGCTGCCTCTGGACAGCTTGGCAGTCACCCCCTGCAAACTCATCCCCCCAGCATACGACACTGCCGTCCTCAAGGAGTGCTGCAACAGCAATGTCGGAAGTTGCGATGGACTGCACCGGACACCAAGGTTGAGCAACATCTTCTATTCGGAGATCTCCGTAGTCGCTCCCCCAGACCACCAGGTAGCCGTCGTTTTGCATGGCCACGAAGCACGACAGCGTCGAGTGGATGGCCTGCACGTCATGCAGCTGATCCTGCACTCCACTGCAGTCGCCCCCGAGCTCTGGAGATCCTCCGCATGTTAGTGTACCGTCCCCATGGAGCACGGCATAGGCACGATGATAATGGCCGCGGGTCTCGATGACCTGATCCCTGTTGGTGATGAACGCTTGGACTGAGCTTCCGTCCTGTAATTCTGCTTGAGTTTAGGGTTTGGGGATTAGGTCTGATTTTAAGGCGATGCTTGCACAAGCAACACAACAATCAGAAGATGAGTCAACAAGCATGCCGACGGAAAGACGTGAACATCTCGTCATGTACCAATGGAAGACTACTACATTCCTCTGAGGCTTTAAATAACAGTTGCCTGGAGGACCTCAGCGACAGGAGTTGTGGGCAAGAGCTCTGTGGCCCCCTCCACCATCCGACCCAGCTTCTTCTTCGCACACAGGGCTCCACTTGCCCGAAAACGTTTTTCGGCCTCGAGGACAAGAGGACTTGGGGGCAAGTCGCTGGGGAGAACTGCCAACCCAACCGCGTACTGCGTGTACGGAAGTGGCTACTGATGCTACATGACCGTACCTTCGCACGATTTAGATGAAGGACTAGCCTGATGAGGTCTTAGGGCTGCCCTCATAATGTCAGAGACTTTAGATGAAGCGCGGGTTCAAGATGAACGCTTTCGAGTCTGAGGTTCACGATGTGAGGCTGTCGGCTAGGATTCGGCCCTGTCTTGCATCCCGAGGGTGTAGGGTTCAAGGTTGAGGGACCTGCCTTCCGCCGTAGATCCTCCACCGTGGTTTGTGGGGATACTTCAACTCGCACCTGCCTGCCACTCAGCAGCGCCACTCTGATCTGCATCATGGGATCCACGAAGTGCCTTTTGCGAATCTACCGCCGTGCTAGAGCATAAATGGCTCACGAGCTGTTCCCGCAATGCGCATGCCGCCAAATGCAAACTCGTTGTGCTAGGGCTGCTAGGGGCCGTACCAGTGTGGCAACAGCAGCGTGTCGGCGACCTTCCAGTACGAATGAGTGCGATGCATGCTTGCCGTCATAAGCCGTTTGCCAAACGTAACGCCGGCAGCACAACTCACCCTGTATCCTGAAGTTTGGGGGTGGGATCCCGAGATGAAGGGGATGGTTGAAAGCCATCTAGACCCTACAACTTAGACCCTAAACCGTAAACCCTTACCCCTGTACCCTAAACCGTGTAAACTTCAGGTGTAGTGGGTTCAAGGTTCGGTGTCTCGAGGTCGCACCCAGTAAACCCTGAGCTCCGAAGACCCTTCGATTGGAAACGCCTAGTTCACAACTGACTCTGGGGGCCTTCGGGTTAAGGGTCACAGGGCATTGAATTTGTCGCTGGAACACACGCTTGTGGTAAGCCGTACTTGAACTTTGTGGATGAAAGACAAAAGTCAGACAAAAGTAGGGGATTTGGGGACAAAAGCGTGAATGTGGTGCTTTACCCTAAACCCTAAACCCGCGAACCCCTCATCCTAAACCCTAAGTTCGGAGGAGCACGGAGTTGCTGATATCCGCTCCCGCCTTTTCTCGTGCTAGGCATGCATCACAAGCGTCGACATGACTCGAACACGGGTTCAGTCGTGACGATGGATAAGGCCGACTTTGATGCAACCAAGTGGCCTGTGACGCCTGCGATCCACAAACCGATGCAGAGAAAAAGCCACGGAAGCTCACTGCCAAGGCTTCGTGTCGAGCCACTCGAGAAGAGCCTGGGTGCAGGGAGCGCCGAATGGTAAGCCAAAGCCTCGAAACTCCAGCAAACCAAAAACCTGAAACCTGGACAATCCGAATCCCCCGAAACCTAAAACCGTAAAAGCCAAGCAACAGCCCTGAGCCCTGAACCCCAAAACCCTCTATCACGAAGACAAGGCTTCTTTCGAAGCCAGCTCACCTTGTTCACCGCCTCCGGGTTCTCATCGTGAGGAATGTGCCCTGCTGGGATGATCTCGAAGTCCACATTGTCGCGCTCCTGCCCGGGACTTCGGACTTAGGGTATTCTATTATTAAGGTTTAGGATTCGGGGTTAAGGGTTCAAGGCTTGAGGCGAGGGTATCAAGGTGTCAGTGTAGGGCACGACCGTAAAAACCAAGCCTTACGACAAACGTCTGGGATTTCCGGTACGATCCCCGGCCTAAACCCTATACCTAGAACCCTAAACCCCCAACCTGACAAGCCTAAACCCTAAATCCTTAGGCCCTAAACCACTGCACATCCAGCACAAGACGGGCCTTGGCTAAACGGGTGAAGTATGCACCCACAGCCCCAGTGATTGGCGTCAAGGTGTCTTGGCTGCCCCATATTACCTGGCGTAACAAGTCTATACCAAGGAGTCCACACGGTTTAGCGTTTAGGGCTTAGGGTTTAAGTCCAAGAGCTCTATAGGGGCTCTGTCAGGGTTCTAGGGCCTAGGGGCGTAGGGGCGTAGGGGTTAGGACTTCGGGGCCGCATGGCTTCATGAGGATGTTGCACGGGTTCTCCTGGAATACCCAGGTGTAGTCAAAGCCGCTATTTATCGTGAAACGACCAGACTTAACGATGCCCTTGAAGCCTGAGGCTGCTAGACTTCGAAGGTCCTGCACTAAACCCTACTTGAAGGATCGTGGGACTTAGTATCTAGGGTTAGAATTGAGGTAAGTATACTTATAATTACTTATAACTCCAATTAGGGTACCTATAACCTAACTTACTAAGTCCCCTGATCCTCCAAGTAAAGGCAGGGTTCAGGGTTTAGTGAATCTGGCATCAAGCTTTGGCTGGTGAACACGGAACCGTGCTTACGATCCCTGCGCAAGAAAACGAAAATCCAGAACTGCTATGTTCCAAAGCCCGAACTCTGATTCTGTGTATTCCTCCACAACCTAAATCCCCTTCAACTCTCAAAAAGGCCAATTCCAAGTCGTATAACACGGCTTCGGGGCTTGGGGCTTAGAAATCGCAGCTTCGGATGCCGACCACACCTGTGCCTTGCCAGAAGAGGACCAAGGTTCGGGGTTTTGAGGCCATGCTTTCATCATCACCCGTTTCTCCCCAGGATACAGGCTTTAGGGATTACGGCTTTAGAGTTCACTTTTCCTCCAAGGGTATAGTTGGGTTCAGGCAGTAGGGTGGCTTATGGTTCCGAACCTCGCAACCTCTCGGTTCGGGCTGACGGATTCGGGGTTCGGCGCTTTAAACTAAACCCTAAACCCGAAACCCCTAAACCCCCCTAACCCCAAACTAAACCCGAAACCCCCGAAACCCGAAACCGCCCGAAACCCTAAACCGCCCACACTCTCAAGCAACACGATGGGAGCACCTTCATGGGCAGAGACGCGAAGCAGGGAGCCTCCGTGACCTCCATCGGAGTCCTAGGCATGAAACAGAAAGGGTTTAGGGTTCAGGATTTACGGGTTTTTAGGGTTTGGGGCTTAGGGCTTAGGGTTCAGGGTTTTTTGAAGCAGAAGCGGTTTAGTGCTAGGGTTTTAGGGTTTAGGGTTTAGGGTTCAGGGTTTAGAGTTTAGGGTTTAGGCTGAGGGTGGTTCTAAGGGATTTGGGGGCTTGGGACTTCGAATATTTGGGGTGTGGGAAGCTTACTCTAGGTCTTTTGGGGCTTCGAACTTCGATTGTTCTCGGGTTTAGAACTTATGGTTGCGGGCGGTTGGGTTCGGGCTTTTGGGGCCGCCTCAAGACAGCATTGAAGCGTTAAAGGGTATCGGGCATGGGTCTGAGGCCTTTCGCAACTTGGGGTGTATTCTTTAGCTCTTGACACTTGCAGGCTACAGGGTCTCTGGCTTAGGCAATCCATAAGGAATACCCAAATCCTCCAGCCGCTCAGTGAAGTGCATCTCGCCTTCATTAGGATGGCGACCAGAAAGCATATCATGCTGCTGGAGACCAAAACATGATCCTCAAACCCTAAACCCTCTACCGTGGTCTTCTGGCGACTTGAACAAATCTCCTTGAAGCCTTTGGAGGAGGCATGCGGAACACTTCTGACATCCGACCAAAACTGATAGAAGCAAATTTCGCAAACCCTCCCCATTGAAAAAAGAAAACTTTGCACCCTCATACAGACCTGTGAAACCGTACAAGCGCTTACAAGCTAAAGAAAAAAGCAACAAAACCTGTAGATAAGTGAAGCCTGAGTCGACCCTTAACCTATGACACTCTCTCTCTGGAACGACTAAACGGACCCAAGTTCAAAAACAAAACGTGCATATATGCATGTACAATATCTATCTATCTACCAACCTATCTATCTACTTATAAATCTATCTTCCCACATTGTACATAGTTATGTACCCGAAACCCTAAACCCCTCAACCCTATACCCCCAAACCCTAAACCTTAAACCCCTAAAACCCTAAACCCACAACCCCACACCCTCAACTCCAAACTCTAAACCCTAAACTCGAAACTCTGAACCCTAATTCCACAACCCTAGGCCCCTAAACCCCTAAACCCTAAACTCTAAATCCTAAACTCTAAACCCCCCACCCTCAACTCTAAACCCTAAATCCTAAACTCTAAACTCTAAATCCTAAGCTCTAAACCCTAAACCCTCAACTCCACACCCTAAACCCTAACCCCTAAACCCTAAACTCTAAACCCCTAAACCCCCTAAACCCTAACTCGACCCCACATCCTCAACTCCAAACGGCGGCCGGAAGGCGGCCCCGGGTCTCCTGTGTAAATCTGGCGCAGGACCTCCAGGGCCCCTGGGGTCTCAGCCGGCTTCACCTGGGTTAGGCCTTTAGGGCTTTAGGGCTTTAGGGCTTTAGGGTTTAGGGCGTTGGGTTTAGGGTTTAGGGCTTAGGGCTTTAGGGTTTAGGGCTTTTAGGGTTCAGGGTTTAGGGCTTGGGGTTTGGGGTTTAAGGGTTTGTCAAAGCTTGGGAAGCGAATCATGATAATGATATTGATACTAGTACGAGTACTAAAACTGATGTTAATCCTTATCTTCATGCTTTTGCTAATGCCGATTTACACTAGCACCGATACCGATAAGAATACTGATACTACTACTTTTACGAAACATGCTAAAACTCATAGAACTAATATCCATTAATAGTAATACAAATTATCGATCATAGAACAGTCGTCATAGTGGCAACCCCCAATCTGAACCATAGCAACGATCAGAACAATCATAGTCATGTCCGGACCAGGATGGGTACAATCGTGATTAAAGGTTTAAAGGTTTAAGGGTTTAGGGTTTAGGGTTTAGGGTTTCGGGTCTTAATATGGTACAACAATAGAGACCACAACACAGGAAAGCACTGTAATTGTTGATAACAGCAAACAGACCATTACTACCAACAGTTAGGGCGTGTTAATCGTTTAGTGATTCGGGATTTGGGGTTAAGGAGTTTGGGGTTTAGGCCGAGGTTGGGCTTCTGGGTGGCTCTTGTGTGTTTTGTTGGCTTATGTTGGCTTCCGGATGTTGCGTGTTTTGACGGTTTATGGAGTTTGCAGGCTCCCAGTAGAGGTGTAGGGTGCAGGCTAGTGGTTCGGGTTGAAGGTAGGTTCGGGCAAGTGTTTGGCAAGAGGTCATACCGAATCAGGGTTCGGGCCGTTCGGGCTCGGGGTTACAGTTTCCGCCACAGTCGGAAAGGTAGTGTAACTACACTAGTCCGTTGTATTGCACGGGGGCCTTGCCTAAATATACCTTGAAATCGACCCATGCCGGGATGCAAAGCTGCTAACGATCTCAGCGTCCACTGCCGCTGGGTTCGTCGGGTATAGGTTTTCGAGAACGGGACCCACCTGGGATTGCAGCAAACCAACCACAGGCGGCCAAGCAAGAAGAAGCCTAAGACGATTCGACGAAGACATCATGTCACAAAAAAGGAATCATTTTCGTAACCATCATCAATAGCCGTCGCCATAGATACGAAACCCTAAACACTGCACCAACAAAACTCTGAGCTTGTAAAATACATTCCAGCTAAAACCGAATTGCCTAAATCCAAAATTTTCTCAAGATAAGCACTTGTTAAATGTGTTGGTTTGCATCCCACGCCAGAAAACCAACAAAAAAACTCACACACACACACACACACACACAAAACGGAGCTGAACTAGACGAAATCATGTGAGAAAAAGGAAAACTCCTCCGTCCTAGTGCTTTTTGGTTGCCTCTCAAGACATAATCCCTAAACGTTCAGGGTTGGGGGGTTTAGGGGTTCAGGGTTTCGGGTAATCCGAGACCTAAGAAGGCTGGACAGGCCGCGTTGTCGGCCGTCGCAAACCTCTCGAAGAGAAAGTCTAAGATCGGGGACTTGAAAATGGCGTCCTTTGCTGCTTCAGATCAGAATAGGCTTTGGGGTGTTCAATCGTTTTTTAAACAGGGTTCTGGGTTGCATATTGATACTGTAAGTATAAGAAGAACTATAAGGGTGTGCTGTACACTATTAGCAATCATTCAGGTCAATCGTTGGGGCTGCAGCAACTCAGCCCAGCAGCCACGAGGCCAAGCACAAGCCCGGCAAACCACTTTTGCAGTCCGCCCATGCTGGGCGATTTGAGCCTGTAGGTAAGATCAGACAAAAGCGCTGATGCACATGCCACGCTCAACGAACGCGCTTTCCATAGGCCCCTTGGCCCAAAATGAGAACGATATGTTTAGTAACACCATTGGCTCTATATCACAACCTAATGAAAACAAGTCCTAAGCAAGACGCAGGTTTAAGACTCCGGCATGTTCTTGTTGTTCATGCCGACCGCACAGTTCAGCATCACGATCCTTGGGGGAACTCTGGACCCCACGATTTAGGGCTTAGGGCCCTAAACCCCAAACCCTAAACCCGAAACGCCAGGGCTCTAGGCTTGAAGTCTATGGTCTAGGGCTTAGGTTCTAGACCCTAGACACCATATCCAGCGACATCCGACCTTCAGATTGGGTTCATACTTAGAATAAGGTTCTGGAGTAGATTATCGTATGGTGATAGAAAGAGGAACCCTACGCAATCATATTAGTACTCATTCAGGCTTCTAATAGCCTATCTCAACCAGGCGGGCCACCCTCTCGTTCGGGTCGTCTTCTGAGCAGCCACCAGAGAAATCAAGCTGCCAAAGGAGTTCCCAACCAGAACGACCTCAAGTTGGGGTCCAGGGCTCAGGGTATCGCATTTAGGATTTAGGGTTTAGGCTTCGGTGTTCAGCACGTACGGCGTAGGGTGCAGGGTGTCGGGTCTGGGGTCCAGGGTTTGGGCTTGGGGGTTTGGGGTTATGGGTTTAGACACGCGCGGAGCGAGATTTTAGAGGTCCCGCCAGCGTCGGACTTGGTCTAAATCTGGTGCTCTTTGGAAGCTGGAGGCTCGTGTACTGCATGTCCATGGGTTCGGGGGGTTGAATGGGTCCGGGGGTTAAGGTTTAAGGCTTAGGGGAAATCTCAGAATGCCAGAACTGAGGCATTGCTGCATCGTAAGTCCAAACACTACATCTTGAACACTGGCCCTAAACCCTAAAAACCTCACATCCTTACCCACCACCAAGTCCTGACCCCAAATCCTAAGCCAAAACCCTGAGTCCAAAGCCCAAAACCCTAGATTCTAACTCCTACACTCCTACACGCTGCATCCGAGATGCATCCGGGTTGGAACCGCCATCCAACTGCTCACAGAAGTCAGCGACCTTCCAATCGCAAAACGGTTGGGTTACTGCAAGGGTTCTATAGGGCTCACGATAAGGGTTGCTACAAGGGGTGCCCTCATGCCCCCACCACTTGCTTACTGTTGAAGGGCCATGGGTGCTTGAAATGCCATTGTTCTTCATCTTTTGGTTTTCTTTCAGTGTCACGAACTGAAGCATGAAGGCCAGCGAGCCTGGCGGTACTTCAACACAAGAATTCTCATCGTAGCACATCATGAAATCCAAAAATTGTTGAGTCATGGCTAAATCAAATCACCTGGCTCTGTTCCCTGACTGTTCGCTCACCCTGTGCCCAACCGATCCACCCCGGGAAACTGGTGCTACGCAAAGAGAATCAACTTCAAGAACACATGGCGGTCTAAATTATGAGCACATGGTTCGAGGGCCTATTGTAGTGTACTTATAAGTGGCAATGTCAATGGTGAATATGACTCTTACCGTTACAAACAGGCGGCGAACCCTCACAGCCCAACCCTGTAGGATAATCGATTGATATGTGCCCAAACAACAAGTACGAAGTAGCTCGTCACGCAAACAGCATTGAGTGGACAGGAAAGAAGTAGTACGAACAGTAATCTCGAGGTGATTTTGCACATCAGTCGCCAGACCTCGACTAATCGCTTAGCAGTGCCACGCATGGATGCGTCTTCGGCTACTTCTTTCGTGAATATGACAAACAACGTGTCTGCTGCGATGAAAAACCCTCACACCCCTAAACTCCGAACTATCGACCCCATACTCTAAACCCCAAATCCAAGACCTACACCCCAAAAGACCTTCAGAAACCTTTGTAGAATCTTCTAGAAAAATCCCTGAAGCCAAAACCCTATGAACCCTACACCCGACTCCCTACACCCCAAGCCCAAGAAAGCTCAAACATCCCCGAACCCTAACCTAGACCCCAAAGAATCCTTGAGGACCACCCCCCGTGCCTGCTCTGCCCACAATTCGATGCTGTAGGGAAGACTGGGCTTCTCAGAGAGTCCTAACCTCCGGTTCGACCGACGTGGAAGAGCTACGATTTAGGGCTGTGTCTTGAATTTCAAGGTGTTTTAGAACGTATGCTTCTTGAAATCCGATTTTTCTGGGGTTTGGGTTTGAGCCTCAGTTCTGGGGTTCGGGGCTTAAGCTTTCAGGTTCACCTCCGTGGCGTGGCACAGCAGGAGCGGGGGTTGTAGAGAAGCCTGGCCAATTCGACTACTGCTTCGGGGGTTCCATTCTACAAATACAGTGGGGTTCAGGATTTCACGCTTTAGGATTTCGGGATAAGGCCAGCATTAAGGCTCCTGCATCAGAGAAGGCTTGGCTACTGGGCCTCAACCCAAAATCTTGTGTGCTGAGGAAGATCCTGGCATGGCCCTGAACTCCAAACCCTAAACTCTACATTAAGAGAGCTACGGCTTAGGGTTTGGTGGCTGACATTAAGGAGGGTAAAATACTGAAATTTTAGACCTTACTTTAATGCTACAGTCACCCCTGATATCGGGGCCTGAATGATTAAAACAAGGCTTGGGCATGCTGTATGATAACTATGTAATGACTACAAGGGGATGATGTTTCACCACATACTCAAGCCACTGACATCAGCCGTGGGTCCCCAACAGGTCCATGGCGTGTGCCGTGTAGCCAGCGGCCGAGAGAGCTGGCAAAGTTCGCCGCCAGTATTCGATGGACCCACCGAATCCTGCAAGGGATTAGGGCTTAGGGCATTGAAAGGTTTAGGGCTTAGGGTGTTTAAAAGCTTAGGGTTTAGGGCTTTGAAAGGTTTCGGGTTTCGGGCTTTGAAAGGTTTAGGGCTTAGGGTTTAGGGCGTTGAAAGGTTTCGGGTTTAGGGTTTAGGGCTTTGAAAGGTTTAGGGTTTAGGGCTTAAGGCTTTAGGGGTCTATGACTTAGGATAGAGGGCGTGGCTTTGCTTCCGCCAAGCAGGCCCAACCCTAACGCCTAAACCGTAATCCTGGAACCTAAACCTCACATGCCACCTGAACTCACCAAACCTATGCTCTGAGCTGCAAGGCAGCTCAGAGCTGTGGCTTCAAGACCTTACACTCAACGGTCTGAACCAACGACCCGGAGCTTTCAACCAAAGGATGCCACGAACCCTAAATCCGGAAATTAAGAGATCTGGTGGTGTGCCACAGCTCGTTGACGTGGATGGCAGAACTTCTCAAGATTGCATGTCGCAGCATCAGATGCTGCCTTGTCATTTGTTAAATACCTTCTTCTCGCATACCAGGATATGAAAGTGTGTGCACTAAAGTTGTCGAGTAGGCTAGACTTGAGTCTCGCCGCAAAGTGCGCCGGACTGAGTTCTGTTACAATATTGTGAATTCTAGTACGTATATACTCATACATTCGAATATCCCGCAGCACAGTCTAGCAGATCCCAGCACAGAAGCCCTTATTTATGCCTGCCAGCAGTCGGGAGCCCAACTGTTACGCACGAGTTCTTTACAGTGCTTATAGTAGAATGTCGAGCTGGGTGTCGAAGCCCAGAGCCCTAAACACATCCTGAAGGCCTCAACCCCACAGGTTTAAGGCTTTAGGGGCCCAGTCCGTGCACAAGAACGATGTGAGGGCGCTCGTCGCGGGGACTCTCACAGGTAGTGCAGCGCACGCGGTGACCACGCCATTCCTGGGTTTGGGGCGTTGAGGGTCGGGGTAAATGTAGGAACCTGATTAAGTAACCTTGGGCCTTTATGTGGGTTCCTTGTATTGAATCCTACTATTTTGGGGTTATAGGCCCAGGGTTTCTTAATCAGGTTCCTACATTATAGAGAACTGGCTTCATGCCAACCGGTGGGATTTCCACAAGATTTCTCTGGGCTCAGGGCTGTAGTTACTTTAGTTTGTAGTAAGACCGCTTCCTGCTTGTCACTGTCTGTGCGCACACTCGGAAGACAACACAAAACCCAAACCTTAAATCCTAAAAACGGGATTCCAAACTAGAGGTTCAAGTTTCGAGCCACAGTTCTGGTAGCAAAACAACCATTGAGGTAATTACTTAACAACAAGAGTCAATCTCCGTCGTTTGCGTGGACTTTCTGGAAATGATCCCGCGAGCTCGACTGGAGGTTTTGCGAGGCCTGCGTCCGGGCAACGCTGCTTCGGGATCTTGAAATGTGTAGGGTTCAGGTGTTTAGGGTACCTGGAGCCAAACAGACCTGCCGTTTTAGGGCCTCAAAATATGCTTCGGGGATCACCCGCCTCGCCAGAGCCAAAGCCGCTCCTCCTGTCCGATTAGGGTTTAGGGTTTAGGGCTTTAGGGGTTTAGGGGTTTAGGGGTTTAGAGGTTCAGGGTTTAGGGTTTAGGGTTTAAGGCTTAGGGTTTAGGGGTTAGGGGTTTAGGGTTTAAGGAAGCGCTTTCGCCACAGCAACCCCCCAGAGCCTCCGAAACCCTTCATCAAGGAACATACCTCAGGTCACATGAAGGATCCCAGTATAGTCTAAGGTCTATTCCTAAACTAAGGGGTTTTGGAGTCTCTGGGCCGAAGGCAATCCCAAGTCCCAATGCCCTGCCATATCAGTCCACCCCCCAACCCCCCCCCCAAAAAAAAAAAAACGCCCAACTCAAGATACCCTAAACCAAAAGCCCAAAACCCATAACCCCCAAGTGGGGTCCCGCCACACACCACCGCCAGGTTGTTGAGGAGGTTGCGTCCGCTTTCGCCCTGAAATCCGTCGATCTCCCGGGCAAAGCTTGGGCCAGCGGTGTGGTAGGAAGACTCACGGCCTGTCTTTGCAGTAGCCATACAGGCTCAAGCCATTGGTGTAGTCAACAGTCGGGGAAGGTTTATGTGGGGCTGTACCCTAAATAAATCCCAACAGCCTAAAACCCTAAACCCTACCTTTAACCCTAAACCCGAGAACCCTGCAGTCCTTAAGACCCTAGAAGGCTTACTGAGTCCCTTGGGCATCTAACCCCAATAGGCTGCCCTATCTAACCAGGATAGGATAGACGACGATGTTGCGCATGATAGCATGCTATAGTCATAATGAGCTTAGGACTTTGTTCCGACCCTTGAAGCCCTAAACCCTCCAAACCCTAAAGCCCTCAGTCGTAACATCCTTAACTCGAAATCTCCATGGTCTCCCTAGCCGGTTTCGAGCTTCTCCTGCTGGGTTGGGGGCCTTTGACTACCTTAAGGAGCTGCTCAAAGGCGTTCCAGTCGAGTCTTTTTTGGGTTTGGATTTAGGCCTGAGAGCCCAGGATTCGATGAGGCTTCAGGGATACCGCGTTTCGGTCCTTCCGGTGCCGAGCTAAGTCCTCAACCCCAGAACCCTGAACGATCTTCAGAGACCCCAAACTCTAAACCGTAGGGTGTAACAGTAGGGCTTAACTTCTAATCCAGGAAGGCGAGTGATGCTTCAGGGCTGAGGTATCGTAATTATCATATCCGCATGTACTCTAAACGACCCTACTCCCCTACCCGTAAACCCTACAGTAGAAGCCAGAAAGTTGGAATATGATTATCCTAACCCTTCTATGGTAAATTATAGGGTATCCTACCCTGAAACCATATTCCAACTTTCTGGAGTTCCCTTTAAACCCTAAAGCCCCGGAAAGACTCGGGTGGGCCTTGAGACCTGGTTTCAAGGCAGCTGGCCAGCTGCAGTGCAGTACCGGCTGCATCACGAATGCTCGTTCGTGCAGGGGCTAAGGGCTTAGGTTTTAGGGCTTAGGGATTACGGTTTAGGGTTTACGAATGCTCTTTCATGCAGGAGCTTAGGGTTGAGGGCTCAGGGGCGTTTATGAAAAATTTGAAGGGTTGAGGGTTTGGGCAGTTTTGAAAGGGGAACAGGGTTGAGAGTTGAGGGATCGCTGGATCACAGAGCAGGCATCCACAATACAGTTAGCTAGATGCAGTGCAATCCACGAGGAAGTGGCAAGTTCTAGGGCTTTGTCTCCTCCAGAAAAGCATGCATCATCTGTGCAATCCTCTGCATTGCATTACACTCACTGGTCACTGGTCTGCAGTGCAGCGGTCGGCAAAGCGATGTCTTCAACAGATGCACAGCACAACAAAGTCAATACCAGCATATGCTTGGCACATGGACAGATGCAATGAAAGAACCCTTTTCTTCAGCAGATCCGCTCCTGTGGCACATGCACCAACATTTAAATTATGCCGAAGGCACCCCGTGGACCCGCCCCGAACTGCTCATCGTCACGGTCCAGGTCTGTGAAACCAGTACCTGCATCCGGACGGACTTAGTATCGGCTGACCAGCTTTCCTTGGAAACATATATCGGTCAGAGGTAGGTTGTGTGCCTGGTTTCCAGCGGAGGTAGTCACGGTGCACATCAGACCCATTTTGCGCGAGTCACAGTGACATTTACGAAGTCACACACATCTTGCTGACAATTCATTGTATGATTATTCCTGAAGTACCGCATCACGTGGTGCTGTGACAGGCTACCTCATGCGAAAGTTGCATCTGCTGCAAAGTCACCTGCTTGCAGACATTAGGCGTGGACGCTTGGCGACGTCCAAACCGTTCCAAACCTGGGATACAAGTAGCTTGAAGATAAGACCCATGGTTCAAAAATGATGGATCACACATCGTGAACCTGTCAGAAAAATTGACACCAACATGCAACAAATCCAATGGAACAAACAGCGGCTGTTGTGACAAGCTGCATTCCGAGGTAGGACTGCAACTGCGCCGGCATCAAATCTGGAACACAAGTGTTCAGGCATTGCCTCAGAATGACGCGGAGTGGCAGAGGGGATGACCGTGAAACCCTAATCTGCAAGGCAAGGCCAAGGTCACAGCTGGCTCCTTTTCCCACCGCCCGGCCCGGGTTTAGGGTTAATTTAGGGTTAAGGACAGCTGGCTCCTTTTCCCAAGTTTGACAAGTCAAAGCTTAGCCTCAGCCTCAGCCACCCTGGATTTGTAGGTAGGTTCTCGCGCCAACAGCCCATGCGGTCCAGATTCTCCAAAGAGGGATTGAACACCTTGGATGACCCTCTTGGCTGCCAGCTTGTCATTTCCTTTCTCTGCACACAGTTGCTCCAGAATGATGAGATGATCGTCTAGCAGCTGAATGAATTCCACTTCCATCTGTGCCTCGCCATATTTCTTCGTCATGCGTTGCAAATGGGCTTCAGCTCCAATCTCTTGCAAGCTGGTCTCGTTTTTGGCCACTTCAGCACGAGCCCAATTGTGCCTGATATGTTTCAAGGATTCCAGAAAGTAACCCTGCGGGTCCTTACAACTGTCAAGCTTGTGCTGATCAAGAGCTCCAAGGACCATCAAAGGAATGTGCAAGGAGATGAGTGGAGGTTTCTTTTTCTCTCCAGACTTACGGAGGTGCGGCAACGATTCGTTGTAAATCTTCAAAAGTCTGGTCATCGAAAATCCATCGGGGTGTTTCTCGGACAGTTCCTGCAGCTTGGGTGTCAAATCTGAATGCAAAATCCGCTGCCAGACCTTGCGACCTGCGTCCCACTGGCAATCTTCCAAACCTCTCGGACCTGGCTTCACGGTGTAGGGTACCAGATCAAAATCTCTGAAGCGGTAGTAGTCCTGAATCTCCACCGCAAAATCTTTGCGCACAATCTTCGCCCGCTTCAGCCGGCAGTGTGTTGCATTTTGCTTTTGAAGGTCCAGGACAACTTCGTACAAAATCTGCACCATGTCTTTCTCGCCATCTTTAAACCGCAGAAAGATGTCGTGGTCTGAAGAGCTGGTGTCCATCCCCATACCAATGCTTCCTCGCATGCTAAACGCTTCGAAAGCCAGGGGTGGCTTCTGCATGGATGCTCCAAGCCCATGGCCAGATGCTGAAACTCATTTAGCTTCATAAACTCTCAATGCTAGACTGGTGCCTACACTTGACAGTCCTCCTCGACAAACCGATGGCAGATTGCCCCGCAAGCGTTCATGCCTCCAAAGCAATCCAACAATAGGCCTCAGTTGCTCGGCGTGTTGCCAACAAGCCTTTGTCGGAGTCATGCATGTAGGCTGAAGGTTTTGAAAAACATTGAAGCCACTGAAACCAAGACAGCTTCATCAGCTTGGTAGACAACATGGCAAGTGGCTGTTGTTCGAATCGCAGCTCTTGTCGTTTGAACACACCAATTTTCTGCCAGTCATTTGAACGTCAGTCCATGAGGCTTCTCAACTAATTTGTATTTAAACAAGCCAAGTCTCGATCGTGTTTTGATCATCATATTCAACAGCATTCCCGAAGCCAGGCGATAAGTTAGCCAAGGCACCTGCGAAGTCTGTGGGACCTCCCTTGCCCATGACTCATGGCCTGCGCCAGCAGGAGTCCTGCCAAAATCTCCTGGCAACCCACCATCCCAAGGCTTCACTGTGTTCATGGCACCACTTGGAGGTTCATGGGTAGTTATAAGTGGGGTTATAAGTCCCCTAATACGGATTAAAAATTATAGTTACCCTACTTTTCACCCTACTTATAACTACCCATGAACCTCCAAGTATCTCATGATGACACCGGGAGCTGCACCCGCATTGACTCATGACTCATGGACCCCATCCAGGCAGTGGGTTTCTTCTGGTCCTGTGCATCTGGAGCAGCTCCGCTGTTCCTGGAAAATTCGATACAAAGACATGTTGAACTGAAGCACGGAAGCAAGATTCTGTTGAAAATCTTGATACCCAACCCATGTGGCTACCTGGTATGGCCCAACTGACAGGTCACAGTGCTGAGCTTCTGACCTTCCTTGGTTAAACCTTCTCCACTTGGCCACGATCATGGCAATCAACAAATCTGACGGGATGCTGTTGCCTCCAACCCATTCCTCTACGACATCCTCAGCATATCCAGCAGAAATTAACAGGGCAGTGGCCTTGGATGCTTCAGTGATCCAGGATCCGTTCACCAAAGTCGATTCTTTATAGCGCAACCTGTTCAGCATGGTGCACAAACGTGCATATGGTCTGGTACGAGTCAATACCCGTCTGCCCCGCACCACAGTTCCTGCTGCCTTTTTATTGTCGCATTCCTGTGACAACAAATGGGCCATGTGCTCTGCAGTTCGGAATGCTGGCCAAAAATTCTCCTCTCCATTGTAGCATATGGGCGGTGGGAACAGGTGCCAGTCCATCCCCGGAAACATGGTGGACTTGGACCCAGAATGAGTGGATCTGGTGGTCCATGTGGCTTCTTCTGTTTCGCTGTCGGAAGCTTCCAGATCTTCCAGCTCTTCGAATTCTTCCAGCTCCGCATCCTCGAAAATTCCTTCATCAGTAATCTCCTGCAGGATGCAGTACAAAGCTGCTAAGCGCGACCGCTTTGATGGTCCTGGCTGCAAAGATGGAGCCCCAAAGATCCGTGCAGATTCCAAGAGAACTCCGACGGAAGGCCAACCCTGCAACGTCTTCATGAAGTTTCTCAAGTCTTCTTGACGCTCGGATGTGTCACTGGTCGGTTTCCATTCACATCGACGGCTTTCTTTGGACTTTCTCAAGATCCAACGGCCTGTCTCCTTGCCTTCTTTCTGATAGCTGAAGCCTGACCTCTTGGCGAGGTCCACCCAGCTACTGTTTTGAATCACCAGTGCGAAGCAGGACTTGCACAGCTGTCGCAAGTAGGTCAATTTCATCACCAAAAGCCTCAGGAGATGAGAACTCGTTCTACAAGATGAGGAAAGCTGCTTTCAAAGGACCGTTGTGATTTTCCTCATACAAATATCTTCATCGTTAAGAAAAGGAATGTAAATCCTGGAAATGCCCAGCAACTCCTTTTTGAAGTACTCATCCAAGCATTCCAAAAGTTGTAGTGGTGGTTTGGTTAACACCGGAGCGAGGAACAGACGAACTTCAGGATGAGAAAGTGCAGCCTTCAAGTCGTTCAGTCCTTGTTCATGCCATTCACATGCCAGTTCAGCAGAAGCTGCAACGACCAACATCGTCAGATTCCCATTGTCTACTTCTTCCTGAAGTCGCTCCACATGATCGGCGCCGTCACTGCACACTGACCACCTCTCAGGATCGAATTAAAATCCAAGAAGGAATCAATCCTCTTTTTGATTAGCTACCGTAGATAGTATTATGATACCGTCAGTTTTCGATGATGCCATAGCCCACCAAGCACTTTCCAACCGTCCAAACACCAACCCCATTTTCCCACATCTTTCAATCACTTTTGCAAGCCTCTCCAATAGGGTTTCCAACGAGATCCGCAGCTCGCCTTTCTTCATCGAATCCCAAAAGACTTCACGGAGCTTGGGATCCCGGACTCGGCAGTTGGTTTCGCTCAACTTCTCGCAGAGCTTCTCCTCTCCTCATCACGGCGCAGACAGAAACACTTTGGCCAAAAAATGACGTGCATTATGTTATGGTGCATTGGCGGAAGTATACAACAGTGCGGGAGAGTATTTATGGTGTTGATGGTAATCATCGTATTGATGGCAACTATGGTATATTGATTGTAAAGTATATTGGTGGTATATTGATGATGTCTATAGTATTTGGCACTGATGCATACTGTCTTTCGTGACCACCGTACTATTCCACTTTCTGCTCGTGTTGATTCGTTTTGTTTCATTTTCATTGAAAACATGCAACTCTACTGATGCGGCCTCTCATTTCAGAAACGATCTCTCAGTCAGACTGCTTGCATCCTCTTGCAACACTGACAAATCAGCCAAGCTCCTTCTCGCTGCTCGAGACGCCGATGGATGAATTTGCAGTTGCCGCCGAAGTGACACTCTCTCCTTGCCCCAGAGAGCCATGGGTTGATGCAGGAAGAGGCAGAACAATGTAAAAACCACGTTCAAATGCGAAGAAAATGGACATTGTTTGGGTATGGATAAGAGGAAAAGCAGTCAAACAGCAAACATTGAGCTACTGTGTCCTCTCATGATGTGCGCAAAGCTGTCTGGCAAAAGATGCACCGTATTTCCGGTGGCATTCTGCAGCACCTTGCAATCCCTGTGTAGAGATCACCTCCGAAGCAAAGCGTCAGGTGCTGAGTAAAGCTTGTAGAAAACTGATTGTGTTTTGTTAAAACGGAAAACTGCTACAGGCCGTCCTGCCTCACTCAAACGAAGCTTCTGAACACGAGAGGAACCAAAATCCATCTCATCTTCAACGTCACAGGAGTTCTTCCAGCTCTTTGCATGCTTGCGGTCACACACGGCTACCACGGCTGCATCTTCACCTTCCGGAGCTTGCCATGCATCGAGTTTTACGAGTAAGGCACCATCACTCCTTCCATCATTGCATGGTTGCACGCACCCGATTTGACGCGCTCGCCACACCAAGTTGTAACAGACTCCTGGGGGAACCTTGGCACCTGCATCCTGGCCATAGAGAAACATGGATTCGGCCAAGCTGGGAGTAGAATAAAACTCCTGACCGTTGACCTTCTGAAGGAAGGAAAAAGCAAAGTCTTCGAAATCCAAAGGCTGGCCCACTTTTCCTGTGTGTTCAATTGCAATCGAAGCACTTTTGTGGCCAGATGACCCCCTCTGTCGATGGATCTTAACATTATGGGTTTTCTCAGCACACAAGCCCCACTCCTCCGTGGAATTACCGCAGTTCCAGGTCGACTTTGCGATTCGCCTGACGTCTAAACAACGGATTTCTTTCTCGAAGGTGTGAAATCGAAGGATCGCCAGGAGTAGTTCCGAAGTCAATAGAGGCTGCAGAGGTGACAGGACGACATCTCGATCAGGATCCTCCATCGCTAGATGCAGCCACTGATCTTTGTCAGCATGCGCAAAGGTTGATTTGATGCCTACCGGCATACCAGACAGAAGTTGGCTGCTCCAAGCAAACTCCAAGTCTTCCAAGGGAACTTCATCTCGAAGGGTTTTACTTGGTATCCGGAACAAAGGCATTTCAGCAGATGCGTATTTGTTGAAGGCATCCACCAGAGACTTCGGCAACTTGGATGAGCCAAACTGTAACGGTGGTCTGAGAGCACTGCAGATCAGTGGCTCTGCTGGTTCGCTCAACTCCCTCCTTTCTCTGTTTGACTGAGCTTGCTGAGCTTCACGGCCTTGCATGTGCTGGGGGAACTCATGCTTTGAGAACGTGGAAGATGTGGAACACGTGCATAGTGGATCACCCTCAGATTCATAATTGCCGTAGCACTTGCTACACAGCACGGCCTTTGGCTCGCTGCACTCATAGCACACTCCCAGCACGGGAAAGATCTTGCATCTGTCACACCTGCGATTGTGAGCTGATGGATGCTCCGCGCGCAAGTGCTTGAACAAACCATTCCGTGAAGCGAAGACCTCCGGGCAGAACATGCACTTGAAGGAGGTCCCCTCATCACATTGCGTCAAGCCTTTAGGCATCGCATGAGCAAGTCCAGCGCAAGGCCGTGCCCACTTCAGGAAGTGCATGGTATTAGCCGATGGCCGTCTGTTTAGCGATGTGTCTTCAAGACATCTGAGCCGTAAAAACTACTGTGCTTCATCACCATCAGTCCTGTTGTGTTTGTTGAAATCCTCTGGCAATGTAACATTGTAGCCATTGCTATGAATTGAACACGATGCTGTTCAACTGCATGGAAGGTTCAAGAGCTTGCACTCGTCTGATGTGCCAAACCGTTCTCATGGTGGGCCCTTTCTGCTCTTGCCACATCTCAGCGACTTAGCGGATCAATGCAGATTCGAGTCTCGAGCCAGGCCCTGCCAATTCCGCTCAAGGCCACCCATTGTTCAACTGTCTTAGCATGGTGAACTTACAACATGAAACTCTGCAGACATGGCAGTTAAAACTCCCACAGCCGTGAATGTTTCATGTAAATTCCAGTGGACAATCTACACTGTACAACCAACCTACGATCAGCCACAATCCCCAAAGCAACTCTCAACACACAGACAAGCCCAAACAAATCATTCACCGAGCGCACGACGCAGGTTCTCCGCATAAGCCTGCCGAGAGGACTGAAGTCTTAGGAATTTTGTGCCAAGAAGACTACACCCACGAAAGTGCAGCCATTGCAAATTGAGGTGCCTGATGAATCGTGGCTGTTCACGGCCCAGCCGATGGGCACCGTCCAATTGGGCCAGTCCTCCAGCTCTTGAAGGCAAACGGCTGAAGCTCTTTCAACTTTTCAACCTTCTACCACTTTGGCTTCTCACTGAACTCGTTTTGTGATTCTGGTATGGGAGTTTCCAAAAATGGGGGACCCTAATATAGCACCCTAAATAGTAGGATCCTTATTATAAGGACCCCTAAATAATGTACCCCTAATTTTTGGAAACTCCCGTATCTGTGCAACTGGCCGGTCCCCGGACCGGGGACCATTGCAGTAATGCTGCATCATCAAATCTTGGCTGACTTCTGAACCCCTCCTTAAAGTTAAACTTCAGCCTCCTTATTATGGTTCATATAGAAACCCCAAAAAGTTAAAGTCCTAAGAGCCAACCAGAAGAACGCCAAGAAATCTCCTATTTCAGGTCCTCGCTGTGCCCAGGCGGGAGCGCATGGCCCGGGATCTTCAGAACCTTCTTGACAAGGTCAGAGACTCCAATATCCCTTAATTAAGGAATATTCCTTAGAATTATAATGGGATCCCCAATACGATTTAAGGAATATTCCTTAATTAAGGGATATTGGGGTCTCTGGGAGGTCGGTCACAAGCTGCTGCCTCGCGAGAATGGAGTGCTTTCATTACCAACCCCGTGCTATAGGGAGAGAGAGATGACATTATGCATCAGGCCTTGGCAAGTTTCAGCTTTGGCAAGTTTCACATGCAATCGACTCAGAATCTGAAGTCCCAAAGTTGAGTTTAGAACGCGTGCATCGTACTTAAAGGGGCACCTGGAAAGCATGAGGGCTTCCAGGCTTTCAGGTTTGCGAACTTTGCGGCCCCAAGGCGGCAAGGGCATGCTCAACATCTTCACACCGGAGCAGCAGGGCTCCAAATCAGAACCCTAAATCTGTGACACTCTATCTTGAGCCCAGAAAGGCTTTATATCATAAAAGGCCACCAAACCTACAGTTGAGACAGGCACCCGAACCGAGGGCTAAGGATTGTGGGGTTTGGCGGGGGACCGCGGAAATTTGGGAGTTTCCGAAGATTAAGGCTACCTTATTTAGGGGTCCTTATAATGAGGATCCTACTATTTGGGGTACTAAGGCCCACGAATTGAAAGCACATGCTTCCCTCCTGCCGGAGCGCAGTTGCTTCAAAGAGGGGCTTTGGGCTTTGGGACTGGAGGACCAGGAATGCAGAGATCAATCGTCAGGGTTCAACGTCCTGCAACCCATAGCCCTCCACCAAGTTCTTACACAGCCGGAACACCCAAGACTCCCGGTAATCATAGGGACCTTTAAGGGGGGTACGGGGGAGGGGGTAGGGGATTATACTTCCTGAAATAAGCCTTCTGAAATCCTGATTATGGGCATCACGGCTCCCTACCCCCCCTAAAGGTCCCTATGAGGTAATAAATGTCTGGACCTGACCCTCGGACACGACGATGATGACGTCGCCTAGGCGACTTCCAGCACTCTTGCCCCACACCAAGAAACGTCGGAGTTTCCGAAAATTGAGGGTGCCCTATTTGGGGGTCCTTGTATAAAGGATCCTAAGATTAGGGTTCCCTATTTTCGGAAACTCCCACATTGCTGTTGTGAGCGTGTTGGGCTTGCAGCCTGCTGCTGATGCTGCCTTTGGCACCCCAGGTGGAACCCTAAACAAACCCCGGACAACCCCTTGATGCATTCACCCCATCAACCAAAGAACCTTAATCTATTGCCTAAACCTTCCGAAAATCCGAACACTTTCACCCGAAAGACGGACTACACTGACAATTCTTGAGGGTTCTTGGGTCAAGGCTTGGGCTCAGGACTTGTGCAGGTGACCCGCGCAAAAGAAAGCTTTGGGGTACATTAACCTACGAATGCACATGGGTCAACAGGTCATCAGACTACTAAATGTCAGCATGCCCGTGCTCAGGTGCCACGACATAGAGTAAGGCATATCTCGATTTCAGATTTCTGTCTTCTCGCCATAAGCATGATTGATGATGCCGATATCTAGATGCAGTATAGGAACGCAAAGATTCAGGTGAAGGTGGCAAGCCTCAAAGGGGGACCGTAGGATTCAGTACTTTCTGTTCATGCACTACTCTGTCTCGCAGGTCACGCTAAATCGCCCCGAAAGCCTAAATCGCTGTCGAGCCACAGTCCTGGATGGTAGACAGCCGATGAGCAATAGCCTCGGAAAGGAGGGCTACGTATGGACGTAAGGTGCAGGTTAGTGTTGAAGAAGGAGGGCTTAGGCTTTGAAACGTTGCAGGTTTAGAGTTCTGACTGCAGAATTTAAGCTTAAGAATATTAGAACCCGCAAGCCCGAAAAAACCTCAATGCGACATCTCTTCCACTGCCAACACCGCAACTCCCCTAAACCCATACTGTACAGGTCCGGGTGTTTTCAGAAACCTACAAAGAATATCAAAGAACACCCAATTAAACACAACCAGAGCCCTGCACGATCCTTAAGCTTCCTAAACCTGAAAACGCTTGATGGGTTGGGGTCGTGGGCATCTGGCCCTTCGCATTTTTAAAATCGGACTGATCAGGGCTTAGGTTTAGAGTTTAGGCTTCGGTTTAGGTGGTACCATTTCGGGTTTAGTCTTGGGTTTTAAGGTTTATTAGCTTGAAAAAAGACGGAGGCTGCGGCAGTCGGACTTCGTGCTTGGAGGGATTTCAAGGTCTGAAGAGCTTTAGGGCTCGCAGTTTCGGGGTGTGCCAGGGTTCTAGAAACCTTGGACTCGGGCAATGCGGATAAGAACAAGCACCCCGGGGCCCCTGCGATGGATGTGCAGCCTCGTGCAAGACGTTGCTGAGGCTTCGGGGTCCAAACCTCAAGCCCGTAAACCGTAAACCCCAAACCCTGAACCCGTGAGCCTTAACCCTAACCCTAAACCCTGAACCCTGAGCCCTAAGCCCTGAACCCTGAACCCCAAACCCTAACCCTAAACTTTAAAGCCTGAGCTTTGGGAGTCAGGGCTACCGGGGGCTGGTTTCAGTGTCAGCAAGACTGGGGTTGCCTGGAAGTTGGGGCTTGAGGATCCTTTCAAGGATCCCACGCAGAGTTTAAGGTTCGTGGGTAATAAAGGGGCCTAAATAATTGCCAATACTATTTTGGGGGCTCCTTATTCTTGCTATTATAGTATACATCGGCCCAAAGACCCTATTCTAATTATTAAGGCCCATATACCAGTACATCAGTTACAAGTGGGGTTAAAAGACTCCTGACAGGATACGTGCACGCGTTTCGGATTTGCACAGAGAGTGCCTGCCGCGTTCAAGATCTGTGCTGCCCCCCCCCCAGAGACTCCAATATCCCTTTATAAAGGAATATTCTTAAAATATAGCAGAATCCCTAATATGATTTAAGGAATCTTCCTTAATTCAAGGATATTGGAGTCTCTGGGTCGCGCACGCACGCACGTGCGTTCAGCCAGGCGAACGGACGCGGCAAAGAGAGCAAAGGAAATCCTACAGCTGACTGAAACCATTCACCTCCGCGAGATCCCACGGCGTGGCACCACCTCTGGGCAGCTGGCGCCTTCGCTCCCAGTGAGATTCTCGTTTCCAGCACCTGGCATTGCGAACTCTAAGATCAAACAGCACGGATGCCAATACACCTGATCCCTTCCACAGTTCCTGATCGCGGCTGGACGGCACAAAACACTCCGATCGGCTAGAAAAACATCGCCTGAAGGATGTGTAATTGCATAGCCCCTCACGGCGACAGTTCGGCATGTTGTGCGATGCACATCGTCTGCGTGCTCACAGAGCTTGCTGCAGTAAAGGCAGTTAGTGTTTGCTCCCACCGAAGTACAGCAGCAGAACATCCTAAAAAGCCCTACAAGTAAAGATTAACAGGCATGAAGTTCACCGCTGATTCCTCAGGGGATGCTTTCACAGCGCAAGCAAGCTGAACCGCGAGATCAAGAGCGTGCCTCCATGTGCACAGAGACCTGGACGCAGCGCACCCTGAGTCTGTGTGGGCCGTCATGAGCCACGCTGGACAGTCGAGATGAACTTTTGCTCGGCACTCGGGTCTCCAATGCCACCCACTTCCGGAAAAGCGCTCTCAGGGAAGCGCTGACTTTCCTGCCCGGGCCGATGCTCCTCTTGGCCTCGCCGCTTCTCGTGGTGGTCTCGGGTGAGGTGAAGCTAGGACGGGTGGAGGAAAGAGGGTCTTAATACATCAAGTCCACGAGATCAAGTCAACAGCTAGTGTTTCGCTTCATGGACGCAGTTTCTACTAGTGACACTGCACCCGCCCAGCTCGCAACCCACCTTCCATGATCAGACGTCCTCTGCCGAGCCTTTTTCCGAAGTCGGAGAGCTGCAGGCTCATGCTGCACGGCGGCCACAACGACGGCCGAGACATGCACACCTTCGGCGCAGGCTCCGCCCCGCCTGGTGAAGCCCAAGTCCGGGACGCGGGTTTGACGCTCCCAAGCACAGCATGCCTCTTTGCGGCAATCTGAGCACCATGCACGAGATCCTGAAATCTTATGCAGCGTGCGGAATGATTCGCTTTCTTCGGACTCGACTCGTGGGCATGACGCGCAAACACAAGCGCTAGCCTCTTGCCGTTATGCACACCAATAAACCCTTCAAGCGCCCTACACTTGCACTGGTCACGGGCTGAGTGTGGGCGAAGCCAGCCCGAAAGTTCGATGATGGCATCCGTGTTTTGCAGCGGACCTTGTCAAGGCAATGCGAACCCGCACAACAAAACCGTAAGGCAAAACGACGCAACCAAAGTGGGAAACTGCACCTGCCTGACTGACAGGCCCAAGGAGCCTGGAGTCTTCTTGCAAGACAGGCCGTTGGGATGCGCACGGAGAAGCATGGTGCACCGGTACTGCGACCGGCCGAAGCGAAGAAGCTGCAGAAGGAGGGATTGCGTGGCCAGAGGCGGCGACAGGGGGGCGAATCCAATCCGAAACTTGGATGATAGCTCTGTTTGTGACCAGCCGCCCGGCCATGCATCTCGCATCGCGGACATGTTTTGCAGCGGACTTTGTCAAGGCAATGCGAACCCGCACAACAAAACAGCAAGGCAAAACGGCGCAAACAAAGTGGGAAACTGCACCTGCCTGACCGGGAAACCCAAGCAGCCTGGACGGAGTACTTATGAAGTCTTCTTGCAAGAGAGGCCGATGGGATGCACGCAGAGAAGCATGGCAGATCCGTCTTGCGACCGGCCGAAGCGAAGAAGCTGCGAAGGGAGGGAATGCGTGGGCAGAGACGACTGGTGGGCGAAACCAGCCCCAAGCTTGGAGAATGGCTCCGTTTGTGATCAGCCGCCCAGCCGTGAATCTCGCATCGCGGAAGAGCTTTGCACGGCGACCTGTTGCGGGCCTCGAAACAAACAGATGCCCCGACCGCACAGCTCTGCACCCTCCACAGCTGCACTGCAAAAAGCACAACACCGGTGCTGCGACCGGCCGAAGCGAAGAAGCTGCAGAAGGAGGGATTGCGTGGGCAGAGGCGACAGGTGAGCGAATCCAGCTCGACACTTGCATGATTGCTCCGTTTGTGATCAGCCGCCCAGCCATGAATCTCGCATCACGGACGTGTTTTTGCATCGCACCCTGTTGCGGCAGGCTCGAGCAGCAGGACGGCCCCAGCCCGGGGAAGCCCACGCCTGGTTATCCAGGCCTAGCGAGCCACCAGCGCTCTGCGCAGATCACACTTGCGCATTGCGTCACACATGTCACAGCTACACGCCTTAGCGGCGCCTTGCTTTTGAACTGCCCTAGGGGTAACGCAGATCTTTCACATTACTTTTCTTTACAGCCCTAGGGGTAACGCAGCTTTTAATTTGCCCTAGAGGCTTCACAGTTTTGAATTTTACTTACGTTAGGTGGAACTTACGTTAGCCATGGCAACGGCGCCAGCGCCCGCGGACGCCATGGCCACCCCATCGCCCACTGACTCACCAGCAGCTCCTCCTGGTATTTCGCAACAAACGGCGGCACTTGAGTCTACGGAAACACTTAAGACCCCGACACTCCTACAGGAGCACCTTTTAGGTCCAGGCCTCTCCCTAAAGTCATTTGAGAATGAAGTGTATATGCTTTGCTCGCCAACAGACCAGCAACTTATCACAAAGCCTATGTATGACAGCCTCCTTTTGACCCACCAACAAAAGCAAGCCTCACAGATTTCCATGGCATCCTCCTTAACCGGGCTCAGAACTCCACCATCGCTTACGAAGACAGAAGATGATGAACCCCCCTCTTGGGGGGATATGGATCCCCAATTAGTTCGTGAACTCCAAGCAGATCCCGCTAAGTATCAGCTATTCATGGCCACACGGCGCCCTAGGAAAGAGGCTCGACTGGACCCAAACTTAGGACAGTTCTCCATGCCAACAGACGTTCCCCCCCCGCCTGAAGCCACAAGCTCCACTCAGACCCCAGAAATTAGCAAGGACAATATCAAGGAGGCCTTTGAGGAATATCACGCAACATTTGTCTCCCCGGCCATAGCCCAAATACAAGAGCATGTAGTAGGGACCCTCACTCCCCAAATCCGATCGTTGGAAAGAAAGAACACCCTCCTTAAGACTAGCCTGTCCTCAGTAGAATCGGAAATGCACAAACGCACCATACTGATCCATCAAGTTCCTCCCTTCTGCAACAAGAAAACAATCGACGATAACATGTGGTATCTCCTTAATCTAGCCCAGCTTGACAAAACCGATGTGCAATCTATTTCGAACCATCTCCTCACTAGCTCAACTAGCTTCATCAGGATAGTTTTTCTTTCAGAAGATATGGCCAAGCAGTTCTTCCAGGCGTTCCGCTCCTCCAAAAGGTACTTTAGGAATCGAGATCAGAAAGGCTACTCCCATTCTCCTGACACACCTATCAAAGTCGAGCGAGACGTCTCCCTCACAGAACGCATAGAACGGCAACCTCTCTATGCGTTAACAGATTCGCTCACCAAGGCTATGACCTCTGACGGAGCTCCTTTGATTGACCAATACTTAAAGATAGACTACAACTCACTTCAGTTATTTCGGCCAGATTCAGATGAACTAGTTGCGATGGTCTGTTACATCCCTTCAGGGGACACTCAGGTCTGTAACATAGCCATTCAGCCCCAACATCGGACTCATGTTTTGGATGTTTTTCCACGCATGTTTCAGGAAAGAATGTGCTCTACGCTACGCTTCCTACAAGCTTACCAGACGGCAGCAAGACACAGCACTACCCCACTCCGATTTCACTATTCACAGACCCAAGACCTCTCTAATGTCTCCCCCCAACAAGCAGTACAGTACTTTCCGTATGAGATATACCCACTTGATTTAACACCCGAACTCCTTAGGACACTGTCCCAGAACCCTGCTCATTTACTTGCCAGTATGAGCGGTATCCAACCTATTGTACATCAAGCCATGCAAGACCAAGGGCTAGATTACTCCTCGTACGGTAAGACAGGTAGAGGCAAATCCTCCGACAAAGGTGGTGGCAAAGGTAAGCACAACAAAGGCAAAGGAAAGCAACAGGATAAAGGTACCAAAGGCAAATACTCCCAACAATCCTGGCGCAACACCTCCGATTACCAAAGCAACAGACAACGGCGCTCTGAACCCCAGGATGCAGTCGACCCGTGGACAACTACTCAAGACCCTTGGCAACAGCAACCCCGCAGTGGGTTGGATTACTCCAGCGGCTCGGCGATTTTAACTCCTTGCCCGGGATGTATGTGCCTCCTTGGGACAAATTCGGATTGTTCACATTGTGCAGGGGCTGATGGCCTCAATCATTTGGAGAGGCTAGCCGATTCAAACCGGTACTCACATCTAGCTCCATTTGCGCAGCCTATTACGAAAGGTTTTAGGTGCCCTCTTACAGTAGGCCAGAAGACCCGGGAATGTCAAGCAGGTAAAACCATTTTTGGAACTGGAGATTGTGCAGGATGTATCGCATGGACTCAATGGGCTGCTAGGTACTATGGACCTAAACCTGTCGAGGCTCTAAACCCCGTAAGACACGCTCTGTACTTAGGCTATGAACGCACAATGCTCCATGCAATGGTAGAACACCCAGACTACTTTATCGACGCTTTGGCGCACTCCCTAAAGAGCATCAACTATCGTTATTCCCTACCCGATGCCTTTACGGATTGGTTCACTTCAGTTATATGCCCCGATCCCCAGGACCCCCTGAGATCGCTCCCTTGGCCTAGAATACAAACTGAGTTCTCCATGCCCCCCGATAAGTTTTTTCTCAAACCGGACCCTTGGTTCCATAACCTCGGTTATGAAATAGAAGCTTGCAACATCCAACAAATTAGTTATCTCCTTTTATCAGTCTATAGTGCATATGAAGCCCTATCTGCAGAAATCATATCCAACACAGACCTCCCAGATCCCAATATGCAACCGGAGCTTGAAATTACATACGACTCCTTACTCACCCTAGATTTCATCCCCTGGCCCTCGGCAGTTCGCCGCTCCTATGCTTTCGCGTTGCGCACATTTGACATTGACTTGGTATGGTCCCAGGAAGCTATTGAGCAACTTGCTTTCTCCCTCCTCTCAGACCCTGATGAATACCTTACAGATCAATTTGCGGACCTGTATCTCCAAGCCCTAGAAGAGGACCCCAGTCTTGAAGCTGTTTTTCAAGGTTCTGCACCCTACACCACGGAACCTCTTAAAAAGCTAGCTGGAGCAGGCAGTTGCTTCTTTGATACTCTATACTACCAAGTAGGTGCTATCCACAAATTACAAACAACAAAGAAGCACGACTTACCTGCACCTAATGACCCTCTAGGCACCCTGTACGACCTCATAGTCACTAGAGCCCCAGATATGTCGGACATAGGCTCCAACAAATCTCACTTGTTAGAAAGGCACTGGAATAACAAAGGCAACAGCATGGAAGCATTGTCTCTCTTGTTGATGGAACGCGGCGATCACGCACTCATTCTCACCCAAGCATGGCTAGTCATGCAACTCCACTACCGTAAAGGCCCCTACCCCTGGAAAGCCCAATGGCTAACTCCCTGACTATCCCTGCTGCCCAGGTGCATTCCGCTGATCCCATCCACGGCTCCAATCATACCCAGCAAGCGCCCTCTACTGTATAGATTCCGACTCCTTAATATACACCCAAAACCTGAACCCCCTCCTGGAACCAACCTAAAAACCCCATCGACGACGATCACTTACGTTACCAAGACTTACGTTATCCCGGTGCTGGGAAGGCACCAGACGACGGTACGACCGACGACAACTTACGTTACCAATCACTTACGTTACGCCCACAGGGGCACCGGTTTCACCTTAGACGGTAGTTGTAGCAACTTAGGACACTGTGAGGGGGCTTCTAAGGCAGTGAGAGCAGTGAGGGCAGCAAGCGACTTTTCACCATTAGTTTGTGCGTTTCACCTTTTCCAGAGTGTACGCCTCCGGGCTAGGGTTTTTTGGGGTTTTTTAGTGCTCAGGAGACCTCTGCACTCGTCTCACCCCACGTCTTACCCTACGACAGCTCCGCTCAGCACCGAACGAGTGAGTTTTTCAGGTTTTACTGGTGGCTTAAATAAGATAATGCACGCACTTAACGGCAACATCACTTATCCGGCAGCAAAGCCCAAGCCGCACAGCTCTCTATGGAGAGACTCCTTTTATTTGCCTAACGGCATGACGGTGTTTAGGTATGCCTTTTATGGCAAAGATTCTCTTTGGCTACATGCCACTCGAAGAGGATATTACTTTGAACTAGAGACGACGCGCAGCGACTCTAAAACACTATATGGGCACGTCCTGAGAGCGGTGGCCTCCAAGACAGGCGAGCCGGGAAGCCGCTGGCCTCTTCTACGGCAGTATAAAACTCAGCTTGGACCTATTTCTAGGAATGCAACAATACGCTCCACGCGGTATGACCAGCACTTGATTTCGGGGGCCTATTCTGGCCCCGAAAGGACGACGGACGACCACTTACGTTATCCACACTTACGTTATGATTCAGCTTGCGGTCCAGTAACGGCATCTAGAGCGCCGTTAAAGCCAAGCGGCTACCAACACCGCGGAGCTCACGGGGGATCTCATCGGGGATATCGATCGCAGACAGCGGTCGAGAGAAGATATGATCACTGGCAACAGAGCCGTAGAGCTCGGCGCCAGGATTACCGACAGTGGAGATCAAACTACCGGGACGTTGCCCTGAAGGTGCACGGCAACAACAGTCCACCCCCGATCCACCTAAAGCCGACTACGCAAACTCGACTAGTTAAACGGCTATCACTAGTTCAGCGCAAATCTACAATCTCGTCCTATAATCAAACTCGCTCCTCTGATTCCACTTTATCGTTGCCACTCCCTACTGGCACCCCTATTAAAATTGGTACATGGAATGTAGAAGGCCTCAAGGAAGTAGCCAAATATGATTTACTTTTGAACTTCTGTAAACAATCCCAAGTCTCTCTTCTATGCGTTCAAGAAACCAAGGTTACATCGGCTCACACATTTCAGAAACTCGGCTGGGAAATTCTACACTCCGGCACCCCGAAAGACCCCCATCATGGGGTTGGCTTTTTCATCTCACCCTCCATGCGCCCCCATGTCAGAGACTTTAAGCCACACTCTGCCCGTATCTGCGAGATTACGCTGGATACTCTACCACATCCAATCACCATTTTCAGTATTTACGCACCCAGTACGGTAGAAACTCCCGCATTAGACCGAGAACGTAAGTCCCAATTTTGGGAAGAATTGGAAGATATACTCCTTAATCATCCTAACTCCTCCCACCTCTTCTTGTTAGGGGATTGCAACGCCCGATTGGATCCTAATATCGATATAACTCATTCACATGTGGGGCCCCATGTGGCAGGCCGAAGACAAACTATCCCTGATGTAGATAGAGACAATGCCCTCTTTTTAATCGACCTCCTTGAGAGCCACGGTTTGGAATTGCCCCAAACTTACCAAAACCTGCCTTTTCGGCAAAGGGTCTCTTACAAGGAGATGACTTGCAAGGACCCCCTTCTTGAAGGGGAGGATATCGCCGACTGGACGACCTTAGATTATGCCATTGCCCCTCAGGGCTTCCGACAAACTTTTTCATTTGTGGGCGCGTATTTTCAACAACTAGTCAACTCCCGTCATATCCCTCTCATTTTCTCACTTAAAACACAATTCCAGCCCACTCCCCCAAAACAAGCTCTCAGAAAACCAGACTATACACAACTCTCCTCTTTCTACACACAGTTGGAGTCTTCTCTTCTAGATAAGACCGATAACGCTTTCATTTTCCCGCACTCCCCTGCTACACAAATCATCGCTTACACAGATGGCTCTTGTCCTAATAACCGTACAGTCTCCTTCGATAACCCGGCAGGGTGGGGTTTTACTCTCACCTCAGGATCGGATTTGCCCGCACACCCCCCGGTGGACTCCACTTGGTTACAGTCCTGGGGTAAGGTCCGCGCCACCCCTACTCAATATCTGCCAGAATTACCCGGCTCCAATAACACCGGAGAGCTTAAGGCTCTTATTGAACTCTTTGATTATTTGATTTATCATTCTACTTTCCAGTCAGGAGACCGACTTACCATATACACGGACTCGCAGTACGCTCTCTCTCTCCTTCTTGGCTCCTCTGTCCCTACCACACACCACCAGCTGGTTACTCTCGCCCAGCAATATTATACGGCACTCCGCTGTCGTTTCCGGGTAAATCTCTTGAAGGTACCTTCTCATGAAGGAATACCAGGAAATGAATTAGCGGACGCTCTAGCAAAACGTGGAGTCTACTCCTTCGGCTCACTCGGCAGGTTTGCCGCTACTCCCTCTAAATCCCTCCAGCCCCCTAAAATTGGCTTTAACCAGCAAGGATGGGACTCCTTAGATGTCATGGAACAGGATGATTTCCTCATCTCCAAGATCAAAGAATATACTTCTCTTATCCCTATCTTGCCACTCTCCGCCAAGAAACCCTGGATCTCCCCTCACACTTTACATCTCATCCAGGTATTTCAGGAAACTAAATTCACAGATACAACTGCTCTTAAAGCGGCCAGAACAGCCATTAAGAAATCCGCCCGTAGAGATAAAAAGCTATTCATTGCTCAGAATCTCCAGGATGATTTCTACGGAAGCTCCATTCAACAATGGACCCACGCTCGTCAGATTCGTTCTGAATTTCGCCCACGCGCTGCGGGACTATTCAATCTCCACGAAAAACTTGTTTCCTCCTCCCAACGTGCCACGACTTTTGCCGATTATCTTTCCAAACAGGTGTGGCACACTACAGGAGATCCCACTATTCTCCAGCATGATCCACATCCACCGGTTACGGAAATTGATTCCCCCTTTACAATGAATGATTTAGACGCCGCTCTAAAACGTCTCAAAAACCATAAGGCCTCCGGCCCCAACGATATTCCGGGGGAAATATACAAGCACGCCCCCTACATATTGAAACTCTATCTCCTTTTTCACTACAACCAATGTTATCAGGAAGCGAAAGTACCCCCTTCATGGCTCTTCTCAGAGGTCGTCATGATATTAAAAAACACGCAGAAAGACGCCCGGCTCCTTTCCAACTATCGCCCCATCTCCCTTACTAATATATCCTACAAGATCTTCGCCTCAATGCTACAACAGAAATTAGAAAAGGGTCTGGATCCCAGAATTCGGGACAGGCAATTTGGATTCCGCAAAAATCGTTCTACCACACAGCCTATTCACATTATTCGTCGTCTCTTGGAGGTCTATGAAAGGCAAAACTCACCTCTTCACGCTCTATTTATAGATTGGAGCAAAGCATTCGACTCCGTTACCTTTACCGCTATCGAAGCGGCTATGACCCATGTGGGAGTTCCGGATCACACACGTAAAGTCATAATGGCTCTCTATGATAACCCCACTTTCTTGGTCAGAGACTCTTCTCAAAAATCTACCGTACGTACACAGACTAAAGGTCTCCGCCAGGGGTGCCCTTTATCTCCCTATTTATTTGGCTTTGTACTAACCCACCTATTTCACGACGTTGAGAAAGACTATCAGGGTCGGTTTGGAGAAATATCAGGTGTATTTCATGTCCCCTCCCCTCTCTGGGACTTAGAATATGCAGACGACACTGTTCTCCTCTCATGTTCGGCGGAGCAACTCAATCGCCTCCTACACTCCGTCCAACACCATGGTTTTAAGAGGGGTCTCCTCCTTAATGAAGACAAATGTGAGCACTTACGTCTACATTCGCCAAACCGCATATACTACGCGCCAATGGCGCAAACCCCATGTCAATGCAAATATTGTGGCGGCGTCCACGCTCCCCCTACCCCCGTTCCCCTCTCCGATGAGGTTAAATATTTAGGGGTTTATTTGGACCCGACCAATAACAATCGTAAGAACACCTCTTATAGAATTTCACAAGCAGTCGCAGCCTCGAAGCTGCTTCGGCCACTGTTATCTCATGCGGGCCTACCGCCAAGTTGGAAACTTACAGTATATCGGAGCATTGTCCTCTCCATTCTCACTTACGCTATGGATAGTGTCCTACTCACTTCACCACAACTTCGTAAACTGGATTCCATTCATTACAAATCACTGCGCCGTATATTTAAAATTAAATCTTCTTTTTATCATAGAATCCTTGACCCATCGGACTCTCAATGCTCTAACCAATATCTTGCATCTCTCTCCTACCGAACACGTAAGGTCATCACTCCCTCTCAGTTATACTCACAACAACGCTTGCAACTTTTCGGACACATTCATAGACACCCAGAATCACTAGAAAGTCAATGTACCTATATGACATCACATGCCTACAGACACATCAGGGCTCCAAACAGACCAGGTCGGCCCCGCATACATTGGGCCGAATCCTGCATGACGCAGGCTGCAGAACGCATCGATCATTTGCTCTCGGACGCAGCCCCTTCTCATGAACAAATCCAACACAGCTTCTATCAATTGCCAAATCCGGCTAGCATCGCTGCAGCGCACCGCTCCTCCGGGTTAATGTGGATGGACAATACGTCCCTCTACCGCAAAGTGCAGCCACGTTGCCAAGACCGTCCGTTTTGGACGAAAGTAGTACACAAACCTCCTTCGGGCCGTGCTTAATTTAAGCCACCAGTAACTGAATTAGGATAGGTCGGTGCTGATGGGCTAGTAGTTGACAGCCTTTCGCGTTCGAAAAAAAAAACCCTGTTGCGGCAGGACTAGACTGACTAGACCTCGCGCACAACTGTAACACACGGAATCTGCAATCGCAAGATACAAAACAAGCTGCTTGCCTTCCGGCCTCGAAACAAACAGATGCCACGACCGCACAGCTCTGAAGCATCCTCCGCAGATGCACTGCAAGGAAAAGAACACCGGTGCTGCGGCTGGTGGAGGTGAGGAAGCTGTGCAGGAGGGCTTGCACGAGCCGAAGCGAAAGGTGGGCGAATCCAGCCCGAAACTGGGACGATGGGTCGGGTTGTGATCAACGGCCCCGCAGCGCAGCTCCATTCACGGACTTGCATTGAAAAGCAGCCTGGGCTAGAGCTCACAGCACGGTCTTCCTGCTTCGAAACACAAAGATGCCTCGACACCACACCTTTGAGCCACCAACTTTTTCTGCATCTGCACCGCAAGGAAAAGCACACCGGTGCTGCGACCGGCCGAAGCGAAGAAGCTGCAGAAGGAGGGATTGCGTGGGCAGAAGCGACAGGTGAGCGAATCCAGCTCGAAACTTGGATCGTGGCTCCGTTTGTGATCAGCCGCCCAGACTTGCATCTCGCATCGCGGAGGTGTTGTGCAGCGGACCTTGTCAAGGCAATGCGAACCCGCACAACAAAACCGTAAGGCGAAACGACGCAACCAAAGTGGGAAACTGCACCTGCCTGACTGAGAAGCCCAAGGAGCCTGGACGGCGCACTTATGAAGTCTTCTTGCACGACAGGCCGTTGGGATGCGCACAGCGAAGAATGGCGCATCCGAACTGCGACCGGCCGAAGCGAAGAAGCTGCAGAAAGAGGGATTGCGTAGCCAGAGGCGACAGGTGGGCGAATCCAGCCGCAAGCTTGGATAATGGCTCCGTTTGTGATCAGCCGTCCAGCCATGCAGCTCGCATCGCGGAGGTGTTGTGCAGCGGACCTTGTCAAGGCAATGCGAACCCGCACAACAAAACCGTAAGGCGAAACGACGCAACCAAAGTGGGAAACTGCACCTGCCTGACTGAGAAGCCCAAGGAGCCTGGACGGCGCACTTATGAAGTCTTCTTGCAAGACAGGCCATGCGGATGCGCACAGCGAAGCATGGCGCATCCGTACTGCGACCGGCCGAAGCGAAGAAGCTGCGAAGGGAGGGAATGCGTGGGCAAAGGCGACAGGTGGGCGAATCCAACCGCAAGCTTGGATGATGGCTTCGTTTGTGATCAGCCGCCCAGCCATGCATCTCGCATCGCGGACGTGCTTTGCAGCGGACCTTGTCAAGGCAAGGCGAACCCGCACAAGAAAACCGTAAGGCAAAACGATGCAACCAAAGTGGGAAACTGCACCTGCCTGGCTGAGAAGCCCAAGGAGCCTGGACGGCGCACTTATGAAGTCTTCTTGCAAGACAGGCCATTGGGATGCGCACAGCGAAGCATGGCACATCCGCACTGCGGCCGGCCGAAGCGAAGAAGCTGCAGAAGGAGGGATTGCGTGGGCAAAGGCGACAGGTGGGCGAATCCAGCCGCAAGCTTGGATGATGGCTCCGTTTGTGATCAGACAGCCATGCAGCCATGCATCTCGCATCGCGGACATGTTTTCAGCGGCCTTGTCAAGGCAATGCGAACCAGCACAACAAAACCGTAAGGCAAAACGATGCAACCAAAGTGGGAAACTGCACCTGCCTGGCTGAGAAGCCCAAGGAGCCTGGACGGCGTACTTATGAAGTCTTCTTGCAAGACAAGCCGATGGGATGCGCGCAGAGAAGCATGGCACATCCGTACTGCGACCGGCCGAGGCGAAGAAGCTGCGAAGGGAGGGAATGCGTGGGCAGAGGCGACTGGTGGGCGAATGCAGCCGCAAGCTTGGATGATTGCTCCGTTTGTGATCAGCCGCCCAGCCATGAATCTCGCATCGCAGACGAGCTTTGCATCGCACCCTGTTGCGGCAGGACTAGATTGACTAGACCTCGCAGCACAACTGTAACACACGGAATCTGCAATCGCAAGATACAAAAAAAAGCTGCTTGCCTTCCGGCCTCGAAACAAACAGCTGCCACGACCGCACAGCTCTGAAGCATCCTCCGTAGATGCACTGCAAGGAAAAGAACACCGGTGCTGTGGCTGGTGGAGGTGAGGAAGCTGTGCAGGAGGGCTTGCACGAGCCGAAGCGAAAGGTGGGCGAATCCAGCCCGAAACTGGGACGATGGCTCGGGTTGTGATCAACGGCCCCGCAGCGCAGCTCCATTCACGGACTTGCATTGAAAAGCAGCCTGGGCTAGAGCTCACAGCACGGTCTTCCTGCTTCGAAACACAAAGATGCCTCGACACCACACCTTTGAGCCACCAACTTTTTCTGCATCTGCACCGCAAGGAAAAGCACACCGGTGCTGCGACCGGCCGAAGCGAAGAAGCTGCAGAAGGAGGGATTGCGTGGGCAGAAGCGACAGGTGAGCGAATCCAGCTCGAAACTTGAATCGTGGCTCCGTTTGTGATCAGCCACCCAGACTTGCATCTCGCATCGCGGAGGTGTTGTGCAGCGGACCTTGTCAAGGCAATGCGAACCCGCACAACAAAACCGTAAGGCGAAACGACGCAACCAAAGTGGGAAACTGCACCTGCCTGACTGAGAAGCCCAAGGAGCCTGGAGTCTTCTTGCAAAACAGGCCGATGGGATGCGCACAAAGAAGCATGGCGCATCCGTACTGCGACCGGCCGAAGCGAAGAAGCTGCAGAAGGAGGGATCGCAGGGGTAGAGGTGACAGGTGGGCGAATCCACCCCGAAGCTTGGATGACGGCTCTGTTTGTTATCAGCCGCCCAGCCATGCATCTCGCATCGCGGACGAGCTTTGCATCGCACCCTATTGCGACAGGACTAGACTGACCCGCACCTTGCAGACACGGAATCTGCAATCGCGAGGTCCAAGACAGACCTCTTGCCTTCCTGCCTCGAAACAAACAAATGGCCCGACCGCACAGCTCTGAAGCATCCTCTGTAGCTGAACTGCAGGGAAAAGAACACCGGTGCTGCGGCTGGTGCAAGTGAGGAAGCTGCAGGAGGGCTTGCATGGGCCGAAGCGAAAGGTGGGCGAATCCAGCCCGAAACTGCCACGATGGCTCGGGTTTTGATCAACAGCCCTGCAGCGCAGCTCGAGTCACGGGCTTGCGTTGAAAAGCAGCCTTCTGCAGTAGGGCTACAGCTCACAGCACATCTGTAAGGACTTCTGCAAGGCACGGAGTCTGTGATGGCATAGTCCTCCAAAGACTGCTTGCTTTCCTGCCTGGAAACAAAAAGATGCCTCGACACAACACCTTTGACTCGTCCTTGCCACCAACTGTTTCCGCATCTGTGCTGCAAGGAAAAGAACACCGGTGCTGTGGCTGGTGGAAGTGAGGAAGCTGCAGGAGGGCTTGCATGGGCCGAAGCGAAAGGTGGGCGAATCCAGCCCGAAACCTGAATGATGGCTTTGTTTGTGAGCAGATCGCGGACGTGCTTTGCAGCGGACCTTGCCGACGCAACGCTAAACCCCACAACAAACCAGTAAGGCAAAACGGCGCGACCAAAGTCGGAAACTGCAACTGCCTGACTGAGCGTACTTATGAAGTCTTCTTGCAAGACAGGCCGATGGGATGCGCACAAAGAAGCATGGCGCATCCGTACTGCGACCGGCCGAAGCGAAGAAGCTGCAGAAGGAGGGATCGCAGGGGTAGAGGTGGCAGGTGGGCGAATCCACCCCGAAGCTTGGATGACGGCTCTGTTTGTTATCAGCCGCCCAGCCATGCATCTCGCATCGCGGACGAGCTTTGCATCGCACCCTATTGCGACAGGACTAGACTGATCCGCACCTTGCAGACACGGAATCTGCAATCGCGAGGTCCAAGACAGACCTCTTGCCTTCCTGCCTCGAAACAAACAAATGGCCCGACCGCACAGCTCTGAAGCATCCTCTGTAGCTGAACTGCAGGGAAAAGAACACCGGTGCTGTGGCTGGTGGAAGTGAGGAAGCTGCAGGAGGACTTGCATGGGCCGAAGCGAAAGGTGGGCGAATCCAGCCCGAAACTGCCACGATGGCTCGGGTTTTGATCAACAGCCCTGCAGCGCAGCTCGAGTCACGGGCTTGCGTTGAAAAGCAGCCTTCTGCAGTAGGGCTACAGCTCACAGCACATCTGTAAGGACTTCTGCAAGGCACGGAGTCTGTGATGGCATAGTCCTCCAAAGACTGCTTGCCTTCCTGCCTGGAAACAAAAAGATGCCTCGACACAACACCTTTGAGTCGTCCTTGCCACCAACTGTTTCCGCATCTGTGCTGCAAGGAAAAGAACACCGGTGCTGTGGCTGGTGGAAGTGAGGAAGCTGCAGGAGGGCTTGCATGGGCCGAAGCGAAAGGTGGGCGAATCCAGCCCGAAACTGCCGCGATGGCTCGGGTTTTGATCAACAGCCCTGCAGCGCAGCTCGAGTCACGGACTTGCATTGAAAAGCAGCCTTCTGCAGTAGGGCTACAGCTCACAGCACATCTGTAAGGACTTCTGCAAGGCACGGAGTCTGTGATGGCATAGTCCTCCAAAGACTGCTTGCCTTCCTGCCTGGAAACAAAAAGATGCCTCGACACAACACCTTTGAGTCGTCCTTGCCACCAACTGTTTCCGCATCTGTGCTGCAAGGAAAAGAACACCGGTGCTGCGGCTGGTGGAAGTGAGGAAGCTGCAGGAGGGCTTGCATGGGCCGAAGCGAAAGGTGGGCGAATCCAGCCCGAAACTGCCACGATGGCTCGGGTTTTGATCAACAGCCCTGCAGCGCAGCTCGAGTCACGGGCTTGCGTTGAAAAGCAGCCTTCTGCAGTAGGGCTACAGCTCACAGCACATCTGTAAGGACTTCTGCAAGGCACGGAGTCTGTGATGGCATAGTCCTCCAAAGACTGCTTGCCTTCCTGCCTGGAAACAAAAAGATGCCTCGACACCACACCTTTGAGCTGTCCTTGCCACCAACTGTTTCTGCATCTGTGCTGCAAGGAAAAGAACACCGGTGCTGCGGCTGGTGGAAGTGAGGAAGCTGCAGGAGGGCTTGCATGGGCCGAAGCGAAAGGTGGGCGAATCCAGCCCGAAACTGCCGCGATGGCTCGGGTTTTGATCAACAGCCCTGCAGCGCAGCTCGATTCACGGACTTGCATTGAAACTGAAAAGCAGCCTTCTGCAGTAGGGCTACAGCTCACAGCAACGGAGATAACCTTGAAGGGAGCAATCATAGATTCTGCGTGCGCACTTGCAGCGCCAGTGTCAAAGCTTTCCTGCGTGCCGCCGGCACATAGGTTCAGTTTCTGATGCACAAGCTCTGCGATGATGGGCGAAGTCCTCACGGAAAACGGGAGCTCTGCATCCGCGCCCACCATGCCATAGGACGCGAAGCCTACCCATGCTAGACCCAAGAAGTACAAAGAACCTCAGCCCTAACCGCCTAACCCATAGCGCCGTTAACCGCAAGTGCTGCAATACCCAAGGGTTTCAGAAGCCTAAGTCCGAGTCGCCCACGACCCGAGCCTCCGTTCGTTCGAAAATCCCTTCCTAACATCTCTCGATAAAAGTGCTCGAGACCCTCTCTGCCTCCCTTCCATGCACCCTTCCCCGCTGTGGCTCTACTTTGCTTGACAGACAAACGTACCAGTGGAGACCGAGCATGCAGTCCCCGGGGCCCAGAGGCAGAAAGACCCTGAGCAGCAGGCGGCCAGTCCTGCTGTGGAAATGCTCTGAGGCGTCACGCAAGGACCTGGCAGACGAGAAGAATACTCGTGGCACCTCCTTGACCCAGAAACGTCACACTGTCTGCACTGCGGGCTCCCGGTCTTTGACATGGGTCGATGGCGGTGACATCACCCTGGGACTGCAGGACATGTCACAGAACACGCCGGACGGCAAGCACTGTTACGGGTCCCGCCAAGCGAGCCATCTTCAACGCCGAGTACAGAATCGTCCGGGTCCTCCTCCTAATCATCGTCAAGCACCGGCCTCGACAGCATCATCATCCAAGTCGCCATCGTCGTCATCATCATCAACCTTACGATTGTCACCTAGATGGTGTATTCGTTTCACGTGCACCGGTGCAAGTCTACAATTGCGGATGTCCCATCATGCGTGGAACAACTGTGTCCTGCATGTACCTGGCAGAACGTATGAGCGGTAGAGGGGTCGCGGCGCAACAAGAGATGGGCCATAAAAGACGAAGAGCACGATGATTTCAAGCATGTAAACAACTCGCATCTCTGCATGTGGCCTGAACCACCACGGAGATTCCTCAAGTCACCTGCGAGCAAGAGCCCTCATGGTGCGACTGCGTCGTCTCTCAGAGCTGACCTTTGCGGCTGCAGCCAACGAAGGCGGTCTCTCTGAAGCCTCTAATCGTCCGCGGTCTTCGAGCCTTCGCTGCGAAACTGGCGTTGCCTGGCTGCGTGGCAGTGAGCGGCAGGCCCTTTGCACTCACGAAACAAGCAACCCATATAGTCTTGGGGCTGGACATTCTTTGCATGCATGCTAGGCGTCGCCTTGAACAGCTCTAGTCCACTCCCCCGAAGGCGAATCTGTTTGCCGGGTGGCAGCGCAGCCTTGCGGACCAACCCCCTTGCATGGTTCTTGCAGGACCCTTCGTTTAGGTGTCAA